TTCCTGTATGCACCCTTTTAAATATGTTATTCTGTGATAAGTTTGGTAACCATCTTTTTACATCATTTCTATTTTTTGATGGGATATTAGTACATAGAACATTAATCCATATGCAAGTACCTAAACCGTAGCAAGCTCTTTTTCCTTGAGTTAGTTTAGCTTAATCTGCCATTTAATGCATTGCCCATGTTATTTTCAGAACATAAACATACAATGTTCGTTACCATCATTTTATTGGGCATTGGTTAGGTTGTATAAGATTTGAAAAAGTTGTGGAGAACTCAAAAAGATTAATTCTGGCAATGCATAGTTAGTGGTAGAATTTCATTTCTGCAATCAGCCAAAAAGAAAATAATCGCTGCATTTGTTTGACTCTGCAATTCCTGATTGGCTGATGCTCTGGTTCATGTAGTGTACTTTTTTAACACAAGCAGTGGTTCTTTTTCGCAGAAAGTTTTAGGTGTTTCACATGATTTGGAGCAATTCCCGCTCCTGAAGACAGAGCTTAGCATGAGACAGCCGCTTTCTATACTTGGTGACTGAGTGTGGTCATGGTAAAATCTGAAAGCTTACAATTCCATACAAAATAGTGTTGCTTGTATTGATGGACATCTGGACCTTTTTTAAACCCCTTCTGTAGTAGTATAATTGTTTCCAGTAACCATGTCTTTTGATGCTAATAGGTGGCAAAAGCTTGATGCTTCTGTAGGCCTTTCTCTGAGGTACCCTTACATGTAGTTGGCTGGCTTGATTTTATAGGGTTGGCTACTTGGAACCAAGAAAAGTTGGTAATGGTTGAGTTAGGGGAGTAACTGGATATGCAGCCACCACCAGCAAATGCAAAGAAGGAATGTCGTATCCAAATTGGGGTGTGGCCTCCAAATATGCTGTTTGCCATTGAAGTTACTGGTTGGTTGTTAATTGACTGTTGAGTAGGCATTTTAACATAATTTGATATGTCAGCACCCTAATTTGTCCCTTTGCTCGCATGCAAGAATACTCAAACATGTAATTTATCTTATGGGCTTTCTCTTTTGTTTATCTCTTTTGTTTATCTGGTAAACGACACCCAAAAAAGTGTTTTTCAATTAAAAAATAATAACCTGAAATAGGTTAGGTTATTCTAATAGTAATAATTCACATGTTTAATTTTGATTCTTTTCCTAAATCAAATAGCAAACGACTATTTGTCCTCTTTCAGATGTTCCTTTCCAAAAGGCAAAGGTTTTTCGACAAAGTTCAATTTGTTTCAAGGAAAGGCCGACTTCTTCTCGCGCACTTTGCTGTAAAGCTTTCTTCCTCTTTTAAACATCCTGTCCTCGACAGAAAATGACTTGGGAATATTTTATAAAATTTTCAGAGGAAAGTCCATAATGAAATAATGAGATACCTTAACTTCAGCTGAAGCAAAATAATTCAGGATTTCAGAAAATTTTTTACCCATCTGAACAAGGTCGTCCTTTCACATGTTATGTAGAATCATGGTCCATGTCAATTTCGTTTTACTAATAACATTTTTTTTGTTTTAATACAAGACATAGTCTAATTACACAAGCTACTAAGGTGTCATACGGGGTTTGAATCTGAGAGCACTGCTCCGCAAGTCAAGGTTCCTTTCCAATTTGATAGACCTCATTAGCTCACTAATAACATTCTTTACGAGAGAAAAAAATAAGAGAGAAACAAATTAGCAATTTTTTGCTCAAATCCTTTGAATTTTGCAATTGTCAAGGGGAATAGACGTCCGAATCAATGTCATCAAATTTTTGAAAATGAAAAGGGGAGCAATAGTCAATCAAAGGAGATTTGACTGGATTTCCACGTTAATAAATGTCTAATAAATCACATTCCGAATCAGGAGAGTGTTACCGATAAAAATCTTATGATAAAGATCATCGTGTCATCGATTGATTTTGATCCTGGTGGAGGAGGAGGAGCAGCAGCAGCACGTGTGTGTGAGTGAGTGTTCTAAAGTGCAAACCACCGTAAGGCTGATGGGGCCCACCTGTTATCCACTGTGATTACAGGACATCGGTAGATGTCTGATAGAATGTCCAATCAGCAATTCACGAGAGGAGACAAGCAGACAAGTGGGTCCCGTACGGTTCCCTACCAATCATTCAAATGGTGAGGGTCCACAGCCACCATGTTGCATGACTTGTCTTCTATGTGTGTAATGATCAAAGTAGACCCCACGTTCCCACGCCTTTTGCCGTACATACATAATACATACAATACCATAATAATTTTTCTCTGTTCTCTTTTCTCTTTAAAAATAATAGTTTCTTCTCAAAATATCGGGACTTTACGACCCAAAATTTTAAAAACGAAAAATAGAAAGGTGGGAGTTGGAGAATTTGTGTTGTCAATGAGCGCGTGGGAAGAAAGAAAGGTCGTATTGTGTGTGTGGATAAATGAGTGCAAATTACCAAACAAAGCTGACCAAAAACCACCTCATCGACTCGACGGCCTTATCACGCCACAAGGCCCAAGACTTTACTCGATGCAAAATTGCCGAAAATACGAACGTGCCAACATATTCACGCAACTAGATATTAAACTCATCACAAATATAGAGACGTTATTCATCGATTAAGTGGAGACAAATTTGACTAGATTAAAACCCAGTTGGTAGCTTTACATGTCAAGAGGAATAATGAGGTTTAGATGAATTACACAACATGATAATTAGGCCTACTGTCGGTGTGTCCGACAAGTGGTTGGTCTGGTGCATAACAAGAAAAACACAAAATGGGTTCCCCTTATAATTCTTCACTTTTTGAGGATATTATTTTCTGGGCCATTGTTGGTTTATTGATTGATATTCATTAGGAGCCTTATTTTAATTAACAAGCATTTCAAATGCTTGTTAATTAAATTGAATCGAATACGAGAGGTCATTTGTGGAACATGTTCCCAATTCAAAGCCATGGAATTGGAATAAGAGGTAAATTGGTAATTTCAATTTATAATAAGAGGTTTGAAATTAATGAGACAGAGAGAGAGAGAGTAGAAAGCGATTTAAAGTCATTGGTGCAATTAACAAGAGAGGTTCGCAGAAAATTAGCATGCTCTTCCCTTCATAAATGACTCTGCTCCAAAATTCATACCCTCTGGAGAATTATGTCATTTTCTTCATAAGCATATGTGAGGAAGCGTTACAACACCTTTTGTACCCGCAAGCATTCAATGTCTCAGTATCGAAACACTACGTAACACTTTGGCATTTATAATTCTATACCCACCACCTCAAACATAAACAAAATATATATGTAATTTTTTATTTTTAAACATTCTTTCCAATGTGCCCCACCCCATTGCTTTCCCATACCATCCTTTTTCTCTGAATCAGTGATCAAACTCTCAATGGTATTGATTCAATCTATTATGATGATTTAGGGGTGGCATTTTAGACCGAAAAATCACAAAAATCAACTGACATTATACTGCATTGGAACCGAATAGCTAAAAACCGACTAAACATTGCGGTTTTAGAAACCAAACCGCAATTGCGGTTGCGATATGTGATTTTGGCAACTCGCAGTTACCGCAAACCGCAAATATATATTTTTTTTAATTGCATTTTAGTAGTTAGATGTTGTGTTTTAATTTGGTTGAGTTTAATATATTATTAATATGCTTTTATATTGTTGCTTTTGTGTTGTGTTGTGTTATAGATGGAGTTTAGCCATTGTAACACACCTAATGCCTCTAATCCCCCAAACATAACACCGCCGTTAAGAGTTTAGCAATTCTTCTTATAATAAAATCCACTCACCACTACCTGCACTTGAGTTCTCATTTTTGTTTGTAACTTTAATTAACTTCGAATTGGATTTTTCTTTAGGTTATGAATGCTTGAGAAGTTGATGTTGAGGTTGTGAATTTATATGTGCTTGAGAAGTTGATGTTGTGAATTTTTTTCTTTAGGTTGTAAATTTTATATATGCTTAAGAATTTGATGTTGTGAATTGATATTTTTTTGGTTAAAGTATGCTTGAACTCAAAAAATTTCAAAAGAAGCATCAAACCTAGGCTTAAAAGTGTGGAAGATTGAATTTTTATGACACAAAAAGACCACACTTAAAGATATAAAATTGTCTAATTTAGGCCTAAAATATTCAATCGGTTTAAACCGTTAATTCACTGTAACGGACCGCTTTTTGCGGTAAAGCGGTCGGTTTCCAGTTTCAAAAATTACTTTACTGCAAATAATCGGTTAGTTTGCAGTTTGGAGAAAAATTCGCGATTACCGAATCACAACCACTCCTATGATGATTGATGAAAGTTCATAAATAAAAGGCACAAAAATGCAAAATACTCTTATGGGTCGGTCCATTAAATAGGTTACCATTTTCCCTTTTGAATAAGGTAGGAGAGAGAAAGGAGAGGGGGGGAGCATTGAAAATGTTGTATGTATGCGTGTGTAGGTGTAGGTGTAGGTGTAGGAGTAGCAGGCAGCGGAGAGAAGAAGGCTCAAGGCCCAAGCTCATGCTACCCAATCATTTCATCAGCTGACCTTTCAACCGACAACCACACTCACGACTCAGACCCCCTCCTTTCCTTCCTTTTATAATCGCTTAAACAAGAAAACTTGCCGGTTATTCTCCTACACTGGTTTTTTTCCTCCTTCAGTTTGACACGTGTCTTACATCGGAACGGTCAGACCCTTTGACTTGGACGACAACAGTCAAATAAACCCTAACCCAACTCCAAATCCAAAACCAAAACCCACCCTCTACCCTCTTCATTTTCATATTTTTCTTGTTCGTTTTTACCCCTTTACCCTTTCGTTTTGTTTCTTCTCTCCTCGCACTATTTATTTGCCCTTTCCATCTTTTAACTTTTTCTCTCTATTTCATCATATAGTTTTGTGGCTTTCATCTCTGTCTCATTCTGTTTTTACTTTACCCTTCTCCTCTCTCCTTTCTCCTTTCTCCTTTCTTCTTTCTTCTTCTTCTTCTTCTCGTCCTACCTGCAATCACGTTTATCAGGTGTTTATGGCGGTTTTTCCACCAACGGGCTCGTCGAGCTTGGAGTTGACTATATCTGTACCTGGCTTCTCTTCATACCCGTCTCTTCCTAATTCATCTGGTAATTAATTAGCCCACCAAGCTTATCTTTTCTCTATCTTCTTCATTTCTAGAGTTTGTTAGACTCAATTGATGTTTGTGCCTTATCTGGGAACCTCACGCTCTCTATTATCTGAGAGATATTCCCAATAATTGTTTTTTTATATAAGTTTTCAACATATGATCTTTTTTTTGGGGGGGTTAATCAGTTTCACATGTGATATGATCTTTACCCGGATATCTTGCATGTCTTTCCTTCTTTTTGCCTTTTTTGTTTTTCTTTCCCAATATTTGTCTATGTCTCGGTTGAAAATCTCCAAAACCCTAAGAAGCTTTCTCTTTGTCGTGTCTCATAGAGAAAAGTTTGGTGGCTGAAATTTGTTTGAAGACTTTTCCTATAATATGTCAAAAAATTGTGAATCGGGTTTTGCAGTGAGAGGTTTGGACATAAACCAAGTGCCATCAATACAAGCAGATCAAGAAGAATGGATCACCGCAGGCGTGGAAGACGAAGAAGACAGCAGTAATGGATCAGGCCCTCCGCGGAAGAAGCTTCGTCTCACAAAGGAACAGTCTCGTCTTCTCGAAGAGAGCTTCCGACAACACCACACCTTAAACCCTGTACGTAGCTACCTAAGCTGTGTTTATAGGATTAATTAAGCAAATACGTATAAATACATGTATAAAATATTGTTCAATAATTAATGGAGACCCTTTTGGAGCACGGTTGGTGTTTTGCAGAAGCAGAAAGAGGCGTTGGCGATGCAGTTGAAGCTGAGGCCACGGCAAGTTGAGGTGTGGTTTCAAAATCGTAGGGCCAGGTAATGTCTATATCTATGTCTATATGCGCGCTATAATGGTGTATAACGAGCTAGGGTCATGGACTCATGGACTTAGAATTGGCCATTCATTAATTATTTTGTTGGTGGTTGGGATTTAAATAAGCTGTGTACTATATATCTCTAGGTAATGTCCTTTTCAGAAATTATGTTTATCGTTTGTATCTAATTCTTCTTATCCTGGCATACTGGCATACTGGCATCCTGGCATCCTGGCATGTGTGTGTATTTGTGCATACAATTATATCTCTATCCAACGATTGATGTTCATAGGGTTTTGCTTTAGTGGTCAGTCACTTGTTGCGCTTGTGCACGCACGCACGTAAAGAATCTTTGGCAGATTTTATTTTAAAATCATAGAGAGTGCCTTCTCTTTCTCTAGTTTTCTTTTTAAAGCTAAAAGATGTCAGAATATTCTTTTCTTTTTTTCCTTTGCATGAAAATGGCTTAACCTAATATGATGTTATCAAATGATAATAATAATAATAAGAAAGTATGGGCAGTTACCACTATATCTATAGGTGGGTGGGTCAAAGTACAGATGCAAAATTATGAACAAGTTATGATGCGGTTAAACTCGTGAGGTGAGCTTTTATCAAGGAAGATAATGATAGTCGTCTTCCAAAGAATAAACAACATAATGATGGTGTGGTGGTGCATTGATTAAGAGGATCAGTACTCATATTGTTTTTAGCCTCGTGTGCTCGTCTCGTCAGTTTCATCACTCTAATAATAACTACCTGCTTTGACTCGGTCGTTGGATGGACTAGCCATGCATTTATGATCATTATGTATGTCATCGATTATAATTTTTATGTACGTATGATTTACCGCCTAAACTCCCACATTATTTTAACCCATAACAATTTGATTTGGTCAAATAATTACAGGTCTTCACCTTTTTACTTGTCTTGTTTGTTAAAGTTCAACATGGACTGGACATGTGTGTTTTCTACGTATTTGTTCTGGTTTTTTTTTCCTGAGGTTTTGAGTGTTTTATAGTAAGTATATTTAATGCGCATATGTTACGGTTGGAAAATGGATGGATTACTTATTGCACATTTACGTGTGAGTTCGTTCATTAATATATCAAATAAGTTTCCCATGTCTTTTACACATGCATGTATAGTTTTCAATGTTTTTCTTATGTATCATCCAACCAACCAAAAAAAACAAAGACCAAAAAAGTGTTTCTTATCATGTAATTAATATATAATTAAGTTGGTAATTAATTAATTAATTAATGTGACTGGTGGTGCAGGAGCAAGCTGAAGCAAACAGAGATGGAATGCGAGTATCTGAAGAGATGGTTCGGATCACTGACTGAACAGAACAGGAGGCTACAAAGGGAGGTAGAGGAGCTGAGGGCCATGAAGGTGGGCCCACCCACCGTGCTTTCTCCCCACAGTTGTGAGCCTCTTCCGGCATCTACACTCACCATGTGCCCTCGCTGCGAGCGAGTCACCACCACCACCACGACGCTCGACAGGGACAGGGACAGGGACAGGGACAGAGGCGGCCCCACCAAGACCAACATTTCTTCCGCCCCAGCTACCACCTTGTCCTCTAAAGTGGCAACGCCCGCCCTCTAATCCCGGGGTGCTGGCTGCATTGTTTAGTTTGTAATTTGACCCAGTACTTGATCACGATCATCAATATCAATGGAAATAGTCAAAAGCGAAAGATTAGAGAATGTTCATATAATTAATTGTTTATACAAGGTGTTGGGTTGGGACGCAAAACACTGACTTGTTAATGTTTCAATGTTGGTTTGTGTTAGCATGTTTGCCACTTTCGCCTAGCAATGATTTCAAACCCCATTTTGAAATTGCTTCAATCTTTAAGCAGTCAAGTCAAACTTAGAGACCTCAAAATGTGATAATGGGTTCAGTCCAAGAAACAACCCAAAATGTTAATGATGGGTTAGAAACAACCCAATAAGATTTTCATAGACCAATATTTATAGCCCAGCTGTCTTTAATGTCTTTCATTTTCTGATAGCTGTTTGCTTTTGTTTTATTATGTTCGCAGAAACGCTTGAATAAAAAGTTGTGGAATTTGGACGAAGTAGAAGTCTAGTTACAAGTGATGCAAAGGTTAGCCCAAAGTCATGTGATTACGAGACCCCGATCGTAGTTTACCTCTTAAAGGAGGCCCACACTTTGGGCTTTCATTTGTAACAAGTGCCGGAATCAATGGGCCTCTTTCTACGAAAATGGAACGAGGATGGATAATGTCCTTGGGGCAAAAACAACAAATGGACTCAATTCTTTTGTTGATTTTTCACTTGATTGGTAGAAAGAAACAACCATCGACAAACCAAAATTGAAAAATATGTGGCAATATGGGGGGTTGCAGAGTAGCATCTGGTCCTCGGAAACGGGGTTAAGTAGGGCAAAGTTAAGCATTGGCTTGTCTTGTAATCGATGATCATTTTACGTGGCACTTAATATAAACTCCCTCCCAACCGAACATTTAGAATAAATTCACACACCTAAAGGTGCATATATCACATGGGCCATACACTTGGCTTCATCTTTATTCCAAATGGACGGTCATGGACTCTCATCACACATTATCATAAATTTAGTCACAACGTTCATTTCCAACCTATAATATTATATGTCAAAACATACACTCAACATGTCCCCAAGTTCCCATTTCATATGTTCCCCCTTTATTTCAATTTTTTTTTATTTTTTTATTTTATTTATTATAATAAAACTATAAAAATTCCAAAGGGATGATGAGTTTGTTTCTTAGCTGTATTTTGGAAATTTCTACTTCTTTTGGAGGAATTTAGATTATTAACTCAAAAAGAGAGGGATATGTGAAAGGCCATTTGAGGATGGAAATGGCAGAGGATTGAGAGTTTGTGTCACCAACTCAGAAAGAATGTTCTTTCACATGGCTGGCTTTGGGATTCAATAAACTAAGACCCCACAAGCACGAAATCCGCTTGCTTGGTGTTGCTACCTACACTAATTTTATTGGTGCTGCTCGTAACATTTATGATTAATATACTTCTCTTGTAATTAGCAACCCTATCTTTATGATGATCAGAGCCCAAGATTGAGTCAACCTTGTTGTCAGTCACGTGTGTGGAACGGATAATTGTGGTTCAACAGTCCCCATTACGATGCATGTGAACGGGGTCTTCGCAATATTATAGACTCGATGCATTTGGATTTGTGCCTAATTTAAAGTTCATATGCCTATAAATAATCAAGTTATGATCATCCAATTAAAGGGGAGCTTGTGAAAAACGATATGCAAGTTGGTTTGCAATTCTCTTTTGTTGTATCCCCATTTCTTTAGTTAATCAATTTCGGAATGTGGCATGCATGAGCTCAATCAATAATGCCAGCAATTGCTTGGAAACCCTAAAATTGGGCGAATCTATGTTGACCGTTGGTACGAAGAAGAAGATATATGAAATAGGCCCAATGAGAATAATGGGAAGTCCTTAGCGGGTTGGCTGTGCATATGTGTAGGTATATCCTATTTGCATACCACTCACTTCTATGAGAAATGTGGTACATAAGATAGTATATAAATACGATATGACTAGCATTTTTGTTCGTATACTTATGAGCAAAAGGTCGATCTTAAAGTTAATAATTCATATTTGCTGTCTCAAACCCTACCACATTGTTTGGTAAGCATAAACAACGACCCTCCACAAAGAAAAGCCTGGTCCTAGATTCTTGCTTAAGTCGTCGCAATGCAAGCTTCTTTTTTAAGTACTAATATGTGGGGTTTAGAATTTGCACCCTTTATTTAGGAGAAAGTGAAAAGTGCTTCAAGAAAGGAGAGTGATGCCTGGTGTGTTTAATTATTGTAAAATTGACCATACATATATATATATATATATATATATCCATGTGGGTCAATTTGGTGTGATTAAGATCTAAAAATGAATTAAGTTATGAGAAAACCAATTTCTAAAGATTGTTTATGAACTCAGCAAGCATATTGTAGTAATTTGGTGGCATGTTGGCATGGGGAAAGGGAAGATGATGAGGTTGAGGGGGCTCCAGCAGAAGCAGCAGCATGCATGGCCATGACTGATGAGCATGGGTTGTGGGGGACGCCCAAAGGCCTGACAGGCTCACATCTTTTGACTCAAACACGTTTCCTTAGCTACTTAAGCCTCTAGCTAAGCCTAAGCTACTAGTAATTAACTGCAGAAAAGGAGAGCCACTTGGAACCACTCATCCTTGGACCGTACGCGCACACATTTGTTGATATATACATTATTACCTTTCTCTTTGGCTTTGGTCACATCTCAGTCATCTTCTCTTCTCTCTTTAACTCTAATAATGCTACTCTTGAGTTATCAATTATATATATATATATATAGCTTTTATGACTTTGCAATATTTGATTCTTATGAAAAAAGTTCATATTGCATAATGTAAGTAAAAGTCATGCACCAAAATAGACCCCCTTCACAATTCTCATCTTTGATTTCTTTTTTAGTAAATACCACGAGGTGTCCCCGCACTCAAAGAGTGAGATTAATCCCCGCTCGAGGTTTGGCTTGCCTCTGACCACAAAGTGCTTCCAATAGATTTTGAACCTATGCAATACTCAGTAATTATTATTATTTTTTAATTTGTCACGAAATTAAGGAGGAAGCTGCATGATGGAATCATAAAGATTTGAAAAGGTTCCAATCCAAGGGAATACAATCTAATATACCAAACTTTTTCATGCATGTATCTGTTTTTACTAGTAAAAAACTCTCATATCGCTGATGAGTAAACAATATTATTCTTGTTTAGTCAGCATGAAGACCGGAAGCATCAATAATTGTGAAGAATTTAATTAATCAATGGCTTTGATAAAAATAAAAATAAAATGGCGATGGAAAAAGGGCAAAAGAGAAAGGAAGGGGGGTTGAGCTAATGATTTGGGTGATCCATTTCCATATATCAAAGGGAATAAAAGGAAGGTGGAAGTTCATGAGTGATAAACATCAGTCGCATTCACATACCTAAAATATTTGATCAGTCCTCTTTGGCCTCTGCTCTGCATGACTGAAAATACATTATCATGTCACGCAAAAGTAGGGACCTTTTGGCTCTGATTACCCACCGTCAAATTCCTCCCGACTCAAAACATGCATCATTTAAATACGGAAAATTATAAACAAACTCAAGGGCTCTTTAGGACCCCAAAAGGTTTGGTTTCTGTTACCCACCTCTTTTCTTCTTCTTCTTTTTATCTACACCCACTATCTAGTATCTCATTTTTGTTTTCTGCCCATTTTGCCATTTTAAATAATTATGGCAAGAAATTGAAAATTCTAATTTTTTGCATCGATACTTTACTATTTATTTAAATTTTGTATTGTCTTCATAATCCACGGTACCTACAACAAGATACATTATGGCATCTTCATAATTATTCATCTAAAACTTTCTTTGTTTATCGTCTTTATTTCTATATATAACATTAAATCATACAAGAAGAGTTGACAAAATAAAAAGGTGTATAGTATAGTATAGGGTAAAATATACTGAAGAGAGAGAGAGAGAGAGAGAGAGAGAGAGAGAGAGAGGTGCTTGAGAAAAGAAGGGTACCTGTTAAGTGGAAGAGTAGGATTGGATGGACAAAATGATTGAATGTGCATGCATATGCATGCGAGAATGTGTTCGATAAAATGTTTGAGGATGTGATGGTCACAATCTGATGAACAATCAGTTTGATTGAATTGCAGGATCTCTGCCAAACTTTTAAGTACTTTGTGCTTCATTCTTTGACTCTGTTCAACTTAAACACACCAAATTTTGTCATCTTTAACCTCAATCTGCTCGCTTACTAGTTAGGTGGTAACTTACTATACTGCGATTGAATCATTTAACCTCTTTTTTTCACCAATTTAATTCTTTAGCAGGAGGGGATCCTGAAATAGGATTCTTTTTTTTTTCATTTTTTTCATTTTTTTTTTACAGACAATAATAGCAACCAGTATTAGACCGAAATAAAGAAACTAGAAACCAGAGTGGAAAAAGAAGATAGAAGACTGTCCACGTCATTGAACAACCTATTACCACACGAGTACTACCACGTGTAGGAACCCATGTTGGGTTAAGCTAATCAAATTAGGCGGTCAATTCCTAACCCACCCACCTTTCATTTCACACACGCACACTCTCTCTCTTGTCGAGGCCCCAAATCTATAGGAACTACGTATAATATTTCACACGCTCGCTCTCTCACTCTACACACGTGTATGCCTTTACCTATACAAATTGGTTGGAAAAAAATACAAGACTTCACGAGACTTAGAAGAACAATATTTTTTTTAAAATCATAAAAGACTTAACAAGAATTAAAAATACTCTCGTATCATATCATATGTTAAGAAAATGAAAGCTTTGAAGTCACATGTTGGAAAATTTAAGATGCCCGTATTGAAAATGGAATGGGAATCAACAGACAAATAAGTTAGTATAAAATGTAAACTAACAATATGTATTTAGGGAAAAGTACATAAAAAATTGCTATAACTAGTCTCAAATAAGATTAATTTCGATACAAAATGCCGGGCTCATATATAGTTTATTAGTTTTAGTGTCAAAGGAAAAGACTTATATTTGCAGCAGGAAAATAGACTTTCACTTGATGCTGATGGGATTTAAAGTTTTTAAATTAAATAAATTAAAAATGATATCGGCAACATATACGCGCCTGAGAGTGTGTGTGTGTATATCTATAGATTATATCTAATCTCTTATCTGTGTGGCCTCCTATATATATTCCCTCCAAAGTTACTACAACCCCTTGTAAAATCACTCCCTCCCTTCCCCTACTCTCCATTTCTCCTCTCTCTCTCTTCTATCTCACTCACTCTCATCAGTGTTTCCCTCTTTCTATCTCTCTCTAGGGTCATCAGCCTTATGAGAAGAAAAGCACACTGACCGAGCGCAGCCAACAACAGCTGCACACGGGAACATGCTCCAATAATCCCTCGCCCAACCCCCCAGTTCGTTATCTAACGGTTTTCCCCTTCTTCCCATTTTGCCCTTTCCCTCTTCTCCAATTCACATCCAAATGCCACCAAACCTCCACCACCACTGCCACCACCAGATCTGAACCCAAACTCTGAATTACTAAGCCAGGCGAAGAGCCTTTGCACTTTTCTCTTCCCTTCTCTTCTCTATCACAAACTCACACAACACACAAGTTGATAACTAACCAATTTAAAATGATATCGTGGCACGACCTTTACAACGTCTTAACGGCAGTGGTGCCGCTGTACGTTGCCATGATCTTAGCCTACGGCTCCGTCAGGTGGTGGAAGATCTTCTCCCCGGACCAGTGCTCCGGCATCAACCGCTTCGTCGCCATCTTTGCCGTCCCCTTACTCTCCTTCCACTTCATCTCCACCAACAACCCCTACACCATGAACTTCCGCTTCATCGCCGCCGACACCCTCCAGAAAATCATCATGCTCTTCGCCTTGGGCCTCTGGACCAACTTCACCCGCAACGGTAGCCTCGAGTGGATGATCACCATTTTCTCCCTCTCCACCCTCCCCAACACCCTCGTCATGGGAATTCCCCTCCTAATCGCCATGTACGGCCACAAAATCCCCGAATCCGGCAGCCTCATGGTGCAAGTGGTGGTCCTGCAGTGCATCATTTGGTACACTCTCCTCCTCTTCCTCTTCGAGTACCGCGGCGCCAAGCTCCTCATCATGGAGCAGTTCCCCGAAACCGCCGCCTCCATCGTCTCCTTCAAAGTCGACTCCGACGTCGTTTCGCTCGACGGCCGCGATTTCCTGGAGACCGACGCCGAGATTGGAGACGACGGTAAGCTCCACGTCAAGGTCCGCAAGTCCAACGCCTCCCGGCGGTCTCTCTCCGCAATGACGCCTCGGCCATCTAACCTCACAGGCGCAGAGATTTACAGCTTGAGCTCGTCCCGGAACCCGACACCTAGGGGCTCGAATTTCAACCCCTCCGATTTTTACTCCATGATGGGAGTTCAAGGCTTCAACACGAGGCACTCTAATTTCGGACCCGCCGACTTGTATTCGGTTCAGTCCTCCCGAGGTCCGACTCCGAGACCGTCAAATTTCGAAGAGACTCCAATGCCGCAGGCGCAGACGGTTACGTCTCCGAGGTTCGGGTTTTACCCAGCGCAGACGGTACCGGCTTCATACCCGGCCCCGAATCCCGAGTTCTCGGCCCCTGTCAGTAAAAGCAGTACCAAAAACCAGCAGCAGCAACCGCAAGTGGCAGCGCAACAGGCTTTGAATAATGGTTCTACTAAAACGAATAGTCATCCACATGATGCTAAGGAGCTCCACATGTTTGTTTGGAGCTCCAGTGCCTCCCCTGTTTCGGAAGGCGGTGGGCTCCATGTATTTGGCGGTACTGATTTTGGCGCGTCCGAGCAATCTGGACGGTCCGATCAGGGCGCTAAGGAGATAAGGATGTTGGTTGCTGATCACCCCCCAAAATGGAGAAAACAAAGGTAACTAACCACTATTTTTTTTATTTTTTTTTCTGTTGGGCATTAATTAATAATTCAATATTTGTATAATTTAATCTAATGAATGTGTAGTGGCTGTTACTGAGAGTGGTGGTGGTGAGGGGGTGTATGGTGGAGAAGCGTTTAGCTTTGGCGGGAGGGGTGGTGCTGCAGAGGGAGAGGAAGAGAGGGAAAAAGAGGGACCCACTGGGCTCAACAAGTTGGGTTCGAGTTCAACAGCAGAGCTACACCCAAAGGGCGGTGGAGGTCCTGAGCACGATCCGTCTGGTAGCGGAAAACAAATGCCTCCTGCGAGCGTTATGACCCGTCTGATCTTGATCATGGTGTGGCGCAAGCTTATCCGCAATCCCAACACGTATTCCAGTCTCATTGGTCTCATCTGGTCTCTGATCGCTTTCCGGTGAGACAACTTGAAATGAAGTTTAATGATTGATTTCCTATTTCGATTGTTTGTTACAAATTGTGAACATATTACAAAGTACATCCTTGTAGGTGGCATGTGGAGATGCCGAAAATAATAGCCAAGTCAATCTCCATACTGTCCGATGCTGGGCTAGGAATGGCTATGTTCAGCTTAGGTGAGTTAATTGTTTCTTAATTTCAATTAATTAATAAGTAAATTGCTAATTCCTGCTCTCCAACAATACCAAATTAATAACAGATATGGTCGGGGTTTGTATTAGAGTAGGAACAAGCATAATAATTTTTTTTTTTTTTTTTTTTTTTTTTTTTTTTTTGGGGTCAAAAGTCAAAATATAATTAATAATAATCATCTGTGAAATTGAATGAGTTGCGGCGCCTAGCTTATTAGAACATATATCTTCTTAGCAGTAGCCGTGGCACAATTTGAGTCGTTGGTCAATATTTGTTTGGCACCATGATTTGTATTCTATCAAAACCATCCATCCATCCATCCATCCACTGGTTCTTTTCTTACAGCTTTTCTACGTAGTTTTAAACTTGGACTATAAACGGGTATTGACCACCCGACATGTGGGGTCCTGCTCTTGCGGTCCAGGGTCGGTGGGCATTGGTTGTCACAGATGCCAATTCGCTCTAAATTAGTGAAGGCAGTTGAAACCCAGCCGAAACCCCCCATAATTTTTTTATTTAAAAAAAAAAACAAATAATGATAATAATAAGCAGCTTAATTACTATACTGAATTACTGATTATTTACTGATGAAATTAGGTCTGTTCATGGCACTTCAACCCAAGATAATTGCATGTGGGAACTCGGTCGCCGGATTTGCAATGGCTGTGAGGTTCCTGACTGGCCCAGCCGTCATGGCTGCTGCCTCCATTGCTGTTGGCCTGCGCGGTACCCTCCTCCATTTAGCTATTGTCCAGGTACTTCATCATCCCCTTTATTTTTAATTATTTATTCAGATATAATTGTTTAATTAATGTTAATAATGAACATATAGGCTGCCCTTCCTCAAGGAATTGTTCCATTTGTGTTTGCCAAGGAGTACAATGTCCATCCAGCCATTCTCAGCACTGCGTAAGTAGAGACATTACATGACAAACTCAATTAGTAAAATATAATTCTATGTCGCTTAATTCAGTCTTATTTTTTATTTATCTTTTAACTAATTAATGAACTTAACTTGGCTTAACTCTAAAAATTGCAGGGTTATATTTGGAATGTTGATAGCATTACCAATTACTCTTGTCTACTACATTATTCTCGGACTGTAAATGTTGTTGTCATAGAAGCATAAACACAAGAGAGTTGTATGTTTGTGGCGCAATTGCGTCACACTTTAAATTGTGATTTTGGAGTATGTACCTACAAGCTTGATGAGGAAGAAGCTAGCAAGAGGAGGAATTCGCCAAGGTTGAAGGTTTTTATTCCAAATTTTTGGGAGCAAAAGTAATAGATTTTTGACTTTTTGTAATTAAACAAGGGGAAGCTAGCCCTGTTATAAGGATCATGCTCCCATTAGAGGCCAAAGTTTATCTTAATTTATGAAAGCTTGTTGGAAGGGAGCAACGCAACTCAAGTCTGTGTAGCCTTGAGAGGAAAAGAAGGAAAAGCATATATCCCTGAATCAATCATATATATCTAATCCTCTTCATTTCGTCAGTCAGGTCAGGCCTTCGATTTCAAGCAAATTCGTCCTTTATTGTATAAAAGAAGTGACGATTGAAATCGGTTCATGAATATATGGAAGACAAAAGAATAGGTGACAAAAATATTAAAGATGTTATTTTATTTTCATATAATTTATTATTTTCCTAGTATAGTATAGTTTTCTTGTCTAGTTTGTTTTTCTTAATTTTGTTCCCAGTGATGGTTTTTATGATATACTATCCGGGGAATGTGGATCCGGAAATTATTTGGGTTTGTCGTTATTGATGATTCTGAACTAATTTTTCTACTGGAAGTGATAAATACCAAAAAAACTTGGACAGGGGAGACATTAATTTGTCAATCACCTATGTTAATTAGGTGTTAATAAAAAGAGAGTCAAAGACAGAGGATGGATTTTTCAGCAAGGATAAAGACTTGTGAATGGACCACCCTCTTCTTCTTGATTTTATGCAAGCGAAAGCAACTTGTGGAGACTTTTTGCAGTTGGGTTAGAGCAAGCAAAGGCATTTGGTTGAACTTTAATTGAAAGCACATTGTCTTTCTTCTACCATTTTGTATATGGATGCACAAAAAGGAGGGGCTTTGAAGTTGCTTGCTGCTTCTTCTTCTCTTAAGATAAAAAGTGAGATGAGAAAAAGCGGAAAAGTTGATAAGCTGGAGTCAAAAAGCAGTTTAGGCTTAGGTTACTTTGTAGCTTTTCGCTTTAGATGCGCCCACAACCCTACCCTACTTTTGTTAGTTTTTATTTATTTTTTAATTTTTTTAATTTAGGAGGCCCATAGGCCGACTAGGTTGTGGTGGGCTGGTCAGCAGTTCAACTTTATTTTTTTTTAAATTAAGGAAAATGATAGCACGTGATGGGTGCCAATCAATTTGTGTATGTCGCTCATTCATTCGTAATGATCACAGAACATCACCCCCTCCCACAAGTCGAAGTCGGTGGTGGTGATCATCGGATTCATGACGCCAATTCTAAATCTCAATACGAATGATTTGATAGATCTTCCATGTAATTTTCGGCTTGTATATATGCATGTATTTCGTGAAAACAATGTATAATTCATTTTCATAAAAAATAAGTAAAACTTCACACAGGCATTGAGGAAGGAAGAAAAATATGAAACGGGGGTAGGTTGCAAAGTGTAAATTGTTTTTGTTACAACCTTTTAATTTTAAAGTGACATGTCCTTAATATTATATCCAACGGATTAAAGATTTTCGATTTTCTTTGCTCTGTTTTTCTATGTATATAAATAAATAAAAAAACTTTTTCTTTTTGCTCATGCAAAACTTACACGCGTCTGCCCATCTTTTCCTCATCTCCTACTTTTCTTAGTGCCTACACTTCAAAGCACTTTCACCCATTTGCAATGTCAAAGGGTAAGAGTAAGGCAATAAATGTTACCATTCACATAAATAGTGGCAGCCCTTGCAAAAGAGTTGTTCTGTTTTCATCTATTGCCATAGAAAAAGGCAAATGCTATTCACTTTTTTTAAAAAAAATTACTTAAACGATTAATTTGGATAAGATTTTCAGTTTCCACATGTCCATATTTATTATAAAATTCACATCTCAAATTTCAGATAAGATTTTCGAATAAGATTCTCAATTGCCACATGTCGATATTTATTATAAAATACAAATGTCATATTTCAAATAAGATTTTCACCATCTAAAATTGTGTCACGTGTCATCTCTATCTTTTAAATCCCTCTATAAAACCAGAGCCTCAACTCAAACCTCTTACACCATATCCTCTCCATCCTTTCATTTCTCAGATTTTAGAAAACACATTTCATTCTTAATGTCTTACATGAGGAGGTACTTGGAAAGGCAAGAGCAAGAAATTAAAGAAAGAAGGCGTAGACGAGCTGAAAAATAAAGCGAGGAGGAAGAAGATGATGAACAAGTTGCCATGGCAGTGAGTATGCTCCATCTATCGAGCCAAAGCTGCCATCGTGGTTCACAAGTCGGCCATAACCCGCACATGGACAGACGTAAGCATTCTCGAAGTAAGAATCTTTTGGAAGATTACTTTATCAAAAATTCGTTGTACTATATTGTTGATTTTCGAGGGCGATATAGAATGCATAACTTTTCGAGATTATTTATTTATTTATTTATAAATAAAAAAAAGGGCAGCCACTATTGGATTGGAGGGATCAGACAAGCCACATGGCTTTTAGCTGTTGGCGGAAATCAGGGCTAACGCCAGGATAGCGTCAGAGCACGAAAGTTTCAAATTTTTTTACTGTTGGCACGTACACCCCACACTCCAACAGAAAAAAATATTTCAAACCGAGGCGCTGACGTCAGCTGCCTTTTGGCATGAGTTCGGGCTCATTTTGCCTTTGGGCTTGCTCGGATTGGTGGTCTCCACCATTTGCCCAAGCTGTAGAAGCCCGCTGAAAGCTCGAAATTGGGCTAAGGCTTCTTTAAAGATCAAGATAATGGAGAATATAAGACTGATGTCACCTAAACCCTAATCTTCAACCTTCATTAACTTTCGTGCACCCATAAATTAAGGCCATCTTTCAAGTACTAATTAATATGTACATTAACTATTACCTCTTCTAACTAATAATAACTATAGTGTGACTATGTGAGTATTGGGAAATATTTTTGTTCACCACCATAATTCTCAACACTTAACACATGTTTATTGGTATATCCATAGTTAACTATTTGCTTCGTATTTATGAAACCATGGTTATGCTCATGGACACATATCAAGTGTTGAAAAGGATGATGATGAGGGTATACTTTAGGTTAAAATTGTGAGCAAAAATACTCCTATGAGTACTGTACAATGAGCATGCATAATCCCATCCATATTTAAATGTTATTAATTTGGTGAGTTTTGGGATTAGGCATTTGGCAAAACCCGTATCCCAAGATTTGAATTAAGTATACGATGTCAATCTGGGAGGGAACATACGCACCACACAGTGGAACACTAGGTGTTAACTTAGGCCCAGTTTGGGATTGCTGTCATTTTAAAAAAAAGTTGCTTCTGTTGTGCTTTGAAAATAATTAGCTGTAAAGTAAAGCAACTTCATGTTTGGTAAACAATATTTTTAAAATGTTGTTAGTACAAAAAGCAGTGTCAAAATCGTTTGGTAAATTTTAATATAAAATTGTTGTAACTGTGAATAATGATTAAAATAGACATAATGTTAAAAGTGTTATATACTAATCATTTGGTGGTAGTGGTAGTGATGGAGTGAAGGTAGTGGTGGTGATTAAGGTGGAGTTGGTGGTTGTGGTAATGGTGGGGGTGGTGGTGGGGATGGTGATTGTGGAGGTGATGGTGGTGGTGGTGGTAGTGGCAGCATGGTGGTGGTTGTGGAGTTGGTAGTGGATGTGGAGGTTTTGGAGAAGGAGGTGGTGGTGGTGGTGGTGGAGGTGGAGGTGGAGGTGGAGGAGGTGGTGACGAAGGATGAGGAGGAGAAGGATGTGGTGGTGGTGGTGGAAGTAGTGAATGTGGTAGTGCAAGTGGTGGAGTTGGATGTGGAAGTGGAGGTGTGTCATTTTTTAAAATGAATGATGGTATTTTGGGAATTAAAAAAATTCATTAAAAGTTCATATCTGCTTCTTTTGAAAGCAGCTTTAAAAAGCAACCCTAGAGCATGCTTTTAAAAGTTGCTGCAAAAGGCCACTGCTTTTAAAATAATCGGGATATTTTATTTTTACCAAACACCTTAAATTGCTTAACTTTAAAGTAAAGCAAATTTTTGGCCAAAAAAAGCAATCCCAAACTGGGCCTAAAACTCAAGGAATATAAGTTATTATTATATGATCTCTGTGAAAAAATAAACGATGATGGAAGAATATATATACATACACATAGGAGGATGAAACTAATAAATAAGACGAAGACAAGAATTAGGCAGTAGATCACGAAATTAAAGATAAGGAAGAAGAGAGGCAAGAAAGACGACCAACATGCTCGCTCCATGATATCCAAAAGAGGTCCAAAGCAGGCAGAAAGGCAGGCTGAACGCCCGCCAGAATGCGAAAGCGATGGTGTTGGAGGTTGCAAATGGGTGAGTTACGAAACCGACGACTCATGAACCCTAGATCCATGTTCACGGTACACTTTCACATGCATTTGTAGCCACAATCCAACAAAATTAAGTTCTCACCCCCACGTGTGCACTCTGCTCCATCAACCTCAGCCTCACGTTTTAATTTCTCATTATCTCTATCTATAATCCTAGTGGCTAATTCTACCAAAAGAATTAAGAAATCAATCAATCGTTCCATCCCTGTTAGGAAAAAAGTTGACATTAATTAGGGTAATTAAACAAACAATATATTAATCTCGAGACTTGGCAAACAACATCAAGTTATTGTTTTAGATGATATTTTTGAGCCCATAAATAGATGATAGATGATAGATAGACCACAATTATTATGTGCAGTGCATATGCATGGCATGGCACCACCAGTATGATCGTTGATCGATGTGGACTAAATGGCGGGACCTGAGAGCAATGGCATGGACGATTAAAGATTGATCATCGTACAGTTCACGCACACACGTGGCTAAAGCATTAGGGCGGGACCCATGCTCATGTGGATGCCCATACTTTGGTCATGTGGAGCTAATTAAAGGAGGTTTGAAACAACTAACATTGCAGCCAAACATGCCATGGTTAGCTATGTATAATTGAATTGCTCACTGAGGAGTAAGGTAGGGACTGTTTGGAGGAACCAAGTTTTGCAGAGCTTTTGGACTTTGCAGGAAGCACTTTTCTTTGGATACAAAGGGAATGGACCCCAATGTGACACGAACCACACTTCTCTCTCTCTCTCTCTCTCTACGCCATCTAAGGTCTAATTGAAGGGTCCTACCATTTTAAGACTCTTTAGTCTTTACCTTTGCAAAGGATACTTTGTGTTGTGTGGATGATATATAAAATATGGAAGGCCTCAGAAACAAGCAGGACAGTCCCCACAAAGCACTTCAACCTGAGTGCCTTAAAAGTCCAGACCCTTTGAATTGAAATCATATCATCACTACATTTTTGCAGCTCAATTCTCTGCATGATTTATCGTTTTTTGGCTAATTTATTCGACACTTCAAGTCGTACACAGTACACTGCCATCACTTTGTACTTCACACACACACACTCTAAGATATCTGAATGGTGGTGGTTGGCAATCTAAAAGATAGGTCAGTAGACGATATTGGTCCATATATATATATATATATATATATATATGTGTGTGTGTGTGCAGGATTGGAAATTCGACAAATAATGAACTTTGGTTTTGATTTTACTAAAATTACTTACATGGAAATGGTAATGAAGTTCAATATGTGTAGCAGCATGTAAATAGCCTCGGACATAATAATTATGTAATAATTAATGGATGATTAGGTGGGAGTAGGGCACACAATATAAAAAACATATGGTGGTGTCCTCGTGCGCGTGGCTTGATTCTCCAGCATACATGGGGGCCATGCTTCGAAGTCTGCAGGCAACACCCCATCCAAATCAAATCTTGCCAATGCCAATTATGTAACTATGATTATACTGCGTGACTAAATCAGTTCCATGAAATTTTATGCTCCTTTATCTGATTCTGATATAACAAAATTTATTCAGGTGGTAACATACATATATATATATATATACATACCCTAAATTAAATCTAACTCATGCTTTTCAGATAAGTTGGTATATATAATATATAGATATACAAGGAATTGGTATTAAATTCGTGCAAGTTGGTGTTGGAGGCTTTTGGGTTGGGTTGGGACCAAAACAATAAAGGCGTGGTGCAGATGAAAATAAATACATACAAACAAAAATGAATCAAAACATGGAGAGAGATAGAGAAGGGGGTGGTCATGCCGTCATGGTCAGTGTAGGGTGAACAACGAACAGGAGCCAGCAGAGAGATGGATCAGCAGCTGCTGTGGCGTTGGGACCATTTCCATTCCATTCCAGCCCATTAGGGTTTTGGGTTGGCTTGAGAGTTGAGACTATTGACAGAGACAGAGAAAGACAGTGCATGTAAAAGCAAAGAAAATTTCTTATTATAAACCAATAAGCGATTTCACAACATATACGTACGCCCACTTTCTATCTAACTCCATCGATCGGATCGGATGTCAAGGCCCCATCCATGTCCCTTTCTGATTATTGCACCTCTTTTTTGCCTGCTTTTATTTGTTTGAATTCACACACGGGCGCGCACACACACACACATATATATATATATATATATATCTCATCTAGTCTTTGGAATTTATTTAGTTTGGACCAATAATATAAATTGGTGTGTATCTAGGGATAATGCCATAAGCTAATGCCTGCACAGCAAGGAAATGTCGGGCTGTGGACCTCTATCAAGGCAAACTTTATTTTTAAATGCGATTTGATACTATAATTTGAATCCAATTAATTGCCTTACTATTTTTCATGAAAATAATCAATCTCCGCACAACCAATTGGTAAACCATGTTTCATTATTTTTGCAAGTGAAGCCAGAGCCCAAAACACGATAAGCTAATTAGGATGGAGGTCCAACTTTGCGGTAGAAGATTTAGAACAGCCCAACTCAATGCATTGACTTATTTCACGTATCCAAAAGGGATGCATGGGAGACTAATAACAAATAAGTAGCCCTCAATGTGTATCGGATTTGAATGTCTCGTGTAAACATGGGCCGCTAGACCAATTGACATAGTGTTTCACCCCAGAAAAAAAAAAACACAAAAAGAAGACTAATCCATGCAACCCGAGATATGGTACAAGTTTTGCTAATGAAGATGTAAGTTGGGCGTTGCATTTATAATATGGGGCTTACATTAAAATGAAACACATAGAAACATTACCTCCATTGGCTAATCGCCAAAACAGCCGAACCATTGATTTACCCAAAACCAGGACATTGTTTGCAATTTAAATTTCTTTCCAGTCACACTTATTTTTCTTGCTTGCTTGCTTCCTAGAGATCAGACAGAGAGAGAGAGAGAGAGAGAGGAGAGAGAGAGAGAGAGAGAGAGAGAGATACTAACTAATATTGGGGAAATTGTGTAACATATAGTTAAAATAAAGAGTAACAAAATGTCTGATCAAGCCATGAAAAACATGGAAGAAGGTGGCAGCTCGGGTACGGACAGCACAAATTCTGGGATTTGCTCTTCTTCTGAGATTGTTCAACTTACCCAAAAGGTAACGCCTTGTGGGTGGCTGATGGATATCACTGAATATTATATATGTATCATATATGCATGAATAATACCTAATTAAACCTCCTCACGTGCAGGTAATTGCAGAGGTGATTGGGACATATTTCGTGATATTTATCGGGTGTGGTTCGGTAGCAGTGAATAAGATTTACGGTTCTGTAACATTTCCAGGGATTGCAATTACTTGGGGATTAATTGTTATGGTCATGGTCTATGCCGTTGGCCATATCTCCGGCGCCCACTTTAATCCCGCTGTCACCGTCACCTTTGCCATCTTTCGCCATTTTCCAGTCAAAGAGGCATGAATCTATATATAAACTAATTCATAATCCCAATTAATTAACTAACTAATTACATTCTTGAGGTTAATTAATTAATTTGTGATACTTGCATTGCATTGCATTTGCAGGTGCCTTTATATGTTGCGGCGCAGGTGTTAGGATCCATCCTTGCAAGCGGGACGCTATGCCTTCTTTTGGACGTACCCCAAACCGCGTACTTTGGTACTTTACCAGTTGGATCAGATATTCGATCTTTGATCATTGAGATCATTGCCTCCTTTCTTTTGATGTTTGTTATTTCAGGCGTTGCCACTGACAACAGAGCTGTTAGTATATAATTAATATCTTTCTTCATTTTTATTAATCAACTTCCATCTCCTGGATATATTCATTTTACATTATATATATATATATATGTATATATATGTATGCAGATTGGAGAACTGGCAGGAATTGCTGTAGGAATGACAATAGTGATCGATGTCTTCGTTGCCGGGTACATATATACATTTATGCATGGACCGCTGATTTTCCACATCTTTACATAAAAATTTGCTTCACAGTTCTAATTAACATGATAATAGCTAGTTAAAGAAATTGAATATATATGCATGCAGGCCAGTATCAGGGGCATCAATGAACCCAGCGAGGAGCCTCGGGCCAGCAATTGTGATGCACACATACAAAGGACTGTGGATTTACTTTGCAGGTCCAATAGTGGGCACCGTACTCGGTGGATTTGCCTACAATTTGATTAGATTTACTGACAAACCACTCCGCGAGTTAACCAAGAGTGCTTCCTTCATCAAGTCCCTCTCCACTAAACCTTGATCATCCTATTCATTCATTACTTCATTTGCATCCGTTTAATTATTACTGCTTCGGCGATGGGATCCATCATCTTCTCCACATCTACCCCGGCTGCACGCAACCATATATGTGGACATATGTATATCCTAACCCTAGGGCATATAGTACCATATATTAAATCCTAAATTATAATTAGTTCTTATTCTGTGCAAGGGATTAATCGAAACTCATCTCTAGGTGTAATTGTACTTTCTTTTCCATTTTCTATGTACAATGTTATACAAATCTCTGTCATTTTCGAGATGCCTAGCTAATTAAACTTCGAAAGCAGAGATCATGGCTAGCAAATTACAACTTCTCTTTTATTTGTTACTCTACCAAAATAACGTTTGATTTCCAATATGACCATGCGATAGTTTACAGTTTATGATCACCTTGGTAAGAATAGGATGCTCTGCCCCTACAGATGTGAGGCTGGAGAGAGTGTACGTACGCATGCACTTTCTCTTCTCATGAACTTCTAATTAATGAATTAATATATATATATATATATATATGAAGGTAGCCTGTCATGTGATCCGGTGTGACAGTTTCATGTGATAGATAGCTCGGCACGATGACTCATGTGATGAGCTCCATGTGGTTTTGATGTACCTTCATTAAACAATTTTAAGATTGTTATATATAAATATTACCTTAACTCAACTCATGCATCCTTAACATGCACATTTGTAGTAACTTGTTGTAAAATTAATATACTCCTTAATTAAATTAAGGACCCATAGGGGATAGGGCCACCATACATGTAACAACCATATGATGATGAAGAGGGAAGCCCACCTCGATTGATCCCTTTGTTTTATTATATGTTCTTCAAATTTATGATGAAGCCATAGACTTTCCCATCTGATAAGCCCTCCCACCAAATCTTAATTTCTAGCTAGGCCATACCATTGACTCTAACCTATGATGCCACATGGGCAGTTTCATCTTTGTTCTTTTCTTTCCCTGTATAAATGGTGTCTTGTCTTCACTTAACAATGGTTTTCTTTTAATAAAATTGGAGGATTCAATGTATAGATCTACGATCTATTTGGTTTTGGTGTTGATTACTATTGGGATTAGGGATATATATTACTACCTAAGCGGGCGAACCAAAGGGGAAAAAAAAAGTCGATAAAGGGACAGGATCGCAAGACATACAATTCATTAAACGGACAGGATCCGAGTTTACACAGGCGTGGCCGGTCCGGTATCTTTGTATATGTTGGGCAGGTCGAGACATGCAGAGCCCATGCACATGCTCCTACAGCAGGTTTTCAGTTTGTCCCAATTGGTGTGTGGTCGGCCCAACGCTGATTCCTAACCAAATGATTATATCCTCCTTAAAATTTTCTAATCAAATGCTTCATATTCAAAAAACATTGCAAGTATGACGTGGGTTAGACCAGTTGAAGACAATGAATTTTGTATTTTTACTCCCAATTCGAATTCTTGTTAGTAAATTAAAGTAATTATACTATTGTTTGCATACATAAAATAAATAAATAAAAAGCATACCTTTTAATTATATAGAAAAATATGTTAATTTATAGGAAAATAAGGGTATGGAGGTGAAGCTGCTGGCAGGCAGGCAAAAGTACTAACAGAGGACAGTAACGACGGAAAGAACGGAGGGTTTGAAGGCGTTATCGAAGTGTCAGAAAGAAAGAAGATAATAATTAAGAGGCGAAAAGCCAACCATCATCGATTGGTGAGATTGAGATTGAGAAATGGTTTGACTGACTGATTGATACAAAACAACCTTTTTAAGCATATATCCCAACTTTACATTTCGGAAGTACTTGACAACTTATGAGTACACTAATCACTTCTCACTCACTCACCAAAAAGTCTGTCTCTTTCTCTCTCTCAGCCTCAGAAGCTTGTTAGCCAAAAAAAAGATCTAATTTTGTAACCCCCCAAAAACAAAGAAGAAAAAGAAGCAAGATCTAAAGGCAAAGACAAAGTAATGGGTTTCTTTGGTGTTGTGTCATGTGTGTGTTTTCCCTCCTAACACGCCTGCTTCAGATGCCTAACTAACATTTTGCTTCATTCTCCATTACCAAACTGTTTCCTTCTCTGGGATCCAAGCCCCAGCCACCGCTTATCTGATTTATATGCGTTTCTTGCACCTCTGAAATGCCCCCTTCTAGTTAAGGTAAGCTCTTAACATTTCCTGCAATTCAGTGACTTTTTCTCATTTAGGTTTTGGATAAACGGAGACTTGCCCATGTTTGCTTACTTATTAATTTTCTTTTTTGTCTCTGAAAGATTGACATTCCTTTGAGGGCTGATTATAATCATGTCTGGGGAGATAGAAGAACCCTTTAGTTTTAGCTTTCAGGTACTTCTTTGTTTCCACCTTTTAGTCTGTGCTTGATTGTATATTTTCATTCCAATTTTGTTTGTTTGCAAGTAAAGGTTCATAAAATCTATACCAATCTGAGATCAACTACTTAATCAGGAAAATTTTAGGAATGTTATGAGATACAAAAAGAATTGACCTTTAGGTCGATTATGTAGAACTAACCTTTCCCAATAAAAGAATTTGGTCATGTTGTAGAAATTTTTTAAGTGTTGGCAAAAGCCCATGGAATTGGATATTGTAATGAATTGTGATCTGCTTTTTCTGATTTGATTTATTTTCAGCAGAGGTGTCCAAAAACTGATATAGTAATGCATACAAAATTTCCCACAAAGTGCATGAATTAAAAAATTTGTTTAGCGATTCAATCTGTTTTATAGTCATTCCAATAACAGCCACTTGTTTGGAATTGGACAGTCAGACTCTTTACACTCTGGTTCCATATCATTTGGGAGGTTCGAAAATGAAGCGTTATCTTGGGAAAAGAGATCATCTTTCTCACATAACAGATATGTTGAAGAGGTCGAAAAATGCTTGAAACCAGGTTCAGTTATTAAGAAGAAAGCTTACTTTGAAGCTCATTTCAAAAAGAAGGGTCTTCCCAAACCAAATTTACCCGAGTGTCATCATGGTACAGATTATCAAGTCTCTGAAAATGATGTCTTGGAGAGTGGTGCTTACAGGGAAGAATTTGAACATGGAAATGAAGGCAGCAGTTATGCTCAATTTGATGAGAGCCCGGATGGTTCAGAGTATCATGGAGACTGTAGTGTTGTGACCGAATGTGAAAAAGAAGATCCTGAAGTTTTATTGTCTAGTCCTCAGAAGGTATCTTCCTTAAAGGATGATGATATTTTGGTCGATAGTGCTGTTGAAGATGCAAATTCTGAGGAAACACATCAACCCGGAAAGGATTGTGACAAGTTTTCTTCAACTATTGATGAACCAGAGACTGATGTAAATAAGAATCATAATGGTGATGCAGCGAATGCTGATGAATCTTCTAACCCTGTTAATATATGCCCCAAGACTGAAGCAGCTAAGAAAATTGATAGCACTATTGTAGAAACTTGGCAAAGTGCTTCTCCAAAGGTTTGGGCTCCCAAGAATACTTTCATCATAATAAGACATTTTTCTCTAGTTAGTAGTAGTATTTACTATAGACTCTCTTGCATTAAAATCTAGATGTAATTATATCTGACGAAAAACAATATGGATATAATTATAACGTTATAGCATCTACATATGTGCTTCCAGACTTACTTTCCTTTTGCTGTTTGAGAACCAATGCTATGTTGCTTATACCTCCTTGTGTCCTATCTAGTTGAAGGATGCAAAAGAATCCAAAACTTCCAAGCCCAGAGTCAATTCTAAGGCCAGCATTTCTCAGGTCCAGAGAAGCATTTCTTCTGAGGCATCTAAAGATCCTACAAAGAATTCTAATACAAGAGAAAGAGAGGGCACACGGAGGAGAACAGATAAAGAAAAGCTGTCATCAAAAACTGCCATTCCATCAACACATTCTGGACGCAGAACTTCAAAATTAGAGGTAAGCATTGTTCATGAAACGTATTTACCACTAAAATGCCAAAATATGATAAAGGTATTTCATGTCCTCCTTTTTATGATGTTCTTCACCCTCTAAATGGTGTACTATATACATGTTAGTTTCCCAGTAATGGTATGCCTTTGGATACTGCAATCCTTTATTTATTATTTATCATTGCCTTTCTCTTTTTTTCTTCCACACAGGAGTCTAGAGATCTGAAGGGAAAATCTGTTCATGAGAGTACAAGGTATATACTGTTTTTTGTAAGTAGAAATCCTGCATGCTTTATTGAATGGAACCTCATATATCCTTCTTACATTGTTGTAGTGATAAAGAGTCACGAGGCAAGAAACTTGGTGAACCTCAACCTCCGGCATTCAAGCCTGACCCCAGAAGATGCCAAACAGCAAACAGGTATATTAACATTTCTTATTCAATGCTATTAGATGTTTCTATCTCTCGAACTGTTGAATTTTGATGGAAATCACCTTTCCCTTTTCCTTTCTCATATAGGCTTAACCACAGAGTCAATTTGACCAAGTCTGATACGAGATCAAGTGTTGCAACTTTCAATTTCAAAAGTTCTGAACGAGCAGAAAGGAGGAAAGAGGCAAGCCAGCATGTATTTTTCTGAATTTGCAGTTCCTTTAGATTTTGGGTTTAGATTTATATGGCTTACAACATTGAAGTGACTTGTTCCTTTGTCCTTGTGGCTCATACAATCCAGTTTTCCATGAAGTTGGAAGAAAAAATGCACGCTAAGGAAGATGAGATGAGTAAGATCCAAGCAAGAAAGCAGGTAAAGAAATTATTCAATTACTATCTTCTCTATATAATGCTGAATTATTCAGCAATTTCAGTGTGGGATGCATTAGTATGTTGAAAAAGATAATTATGTTTTTCAAATGATTAGAATGCTATGTTATGCTTGGTACAATGATGCAGATGTCGTGGGTCTAATCTATTCCTGGACTTTTGTATGCTAAAGTTTATATAGTTACTCATAAATCAGGCAAATGTTCGCTGATAATGCAACTCAAATATTCCTGATTGCATGCTTTCAAAACTTCTCTTAAGAATCTCAATGGGTTTAGGTTACTGTTATGCGGCAGGAAAAGACAGAAGCTGAGATTAAACAATTCCGGAAAAGCCTCAACTTCAAAGCAGCACCAATGCCTTCTTTCTACAATGTAGCTATGACTTCAGGCCCTGATGGAAACAAGGTAAATAAATGTCTTACATTGCATTTTAAGACAGGAGATAGATTCCAAGTGAATCAATGAGGCCCAGTTTGAATTGGAGCATAAATTCCAATTCACTCGTGAAAACGGATGTAGAATATATTGTGAGATAGAGAATGACTTGTGGTCTTCTGAATCATGAGTAGCTGTTCTTTCTTTTTACCAAACATTCCATTTCTATGTCTTTCAGGCTGCATCTACCAAATTCTCTAAAGTACAAGGCAAGTCAACAAGTCCAGGGAGTGGAGCTGCTGCAGGATTGGCCTCACATTCAGAGGTAGGAAAGGATGAAGATCCCACTGCTAGTGCTCCTGTAAGCACAACTGAATCACATGATGCCTCAGGAGAAACCAACTTATCCCGAGATACGAAAACAAAAGGTGAAGGCAGCAGGATGAAAGAAAAAGAGAAGGATGCTAATGTGCAGAAACAGCGGTTTTCAGAAAGTGGTAAGGTGGCAAAAGGCAGGAAAAGTGAGGGGAAGCAGAAAGCGGGAGGTGAAAGAAATAGCAGAGAGATGTCAAGGAAGGGTATGAAAGGCATCGGCTTCGGAAGCAGTTCCAGAATGGGTCATCTAACAGTTGGTGTTGCTTCATGAATGAAGGGTCCTTGTTCCTTTTGTCATCCCATCATCCATAGTATGCTTCAATTTATGGTATTGGTGACAATCATTATTACTGTTAGTGATCATCAAAATCAGCTGTTGAGGCTAGCGTTCCCTTTTGCTATCACTTTTAGAGTCCCACAGACAGTTTTATCCATGCAAAGCTTGTAACAAAAGCATATAAGCTGAATAGACATAATAATAATGGTTGCGCTGTTTTGAGGGGCTAAAATTGCCTAGGCTAGGCCCTCTTGCCACCTTATAAATATGATAAATTAAAATTGATTAAATTATATTATTCATCAGGTAGATTGTAATGAAAGCAAGTTCTCTTTCAATCAAAGTATGTCTCTTTGAAATGGATTAGCGAGTTTGTTGCTGGCACAGAACAGAACAGAGCTTTTCTATGGTCATTCAATTGAAATTCTATCATTTCCCCACAAAAAATGAATAATTTTTGCAGTGGCATGGAACCTTGACCCATCTTTTTACGGATCAAATCCCGGATGTCTCAAGATTTTCTGCCTTCCCACTAAATAATATGACAAGTCACAGTCTCAATGCTTTTGAATTCCCTTATGTTTGATAAAATGTTGGGAATCTTCTACTTAAAAAGGTTGTGTGGGTTGGAATGTCGTAGGGAGAAAGATAATACTCCTTCTGTCTCTACTCTACTTTTGACTCCAAGTAGTGAGTACCAACCAAAGGACCCCCACCACCATAGCAAACCTGTTCTATTATCTTTATATACATACTGCATTAGTGGTTGCAACTCTTAACAACCAAGTTTGAAAACTTTTAACCTTTGTTTAGCCTTTATTGTTCTTTTAGCAGACCAATTTTATTAATTTACAAGACATAAAATGGACCTTGAAATGTAATGGAACTGAGCTTAGCTCCATTTGGTTTGCCATGCATTTAAAAAGTTTGAATGAAGACAAAAAACTGAAAGGAAGGAGCCTAAAGGAGGATAAGGAAGGCATCTTGAAGTTTCCGTTTCCATTGACCTGCCGACTGTGTAATTAAGCCTATTGGTTGTTGTCCTTTGCGCGCAATCACCAAACCAGGTGATGTAATATTTCAATTGGGAGGTTAAGCATCGCATTAAGACAAAACATAAGCAATATAATATTAATTCTATGTATCATCATCGTTATCACTTGCTCTGTTTCTCTCACCCTCATTTCTGCAACTGCAACTAAATACATACCACTCTTGGATCAATCAATCTCATGAAACATGTACCATAAAAATATTTAACATGACTGATTTCCATTCAACCAAAACATGATGATATTTGATCATGACACCCAAATTGAGACCAGCTCCAGCTAGGTAATTCATTGATTAAAAGAAGAAGAAGAAGAAGAAGAAGAAGAAGAAGAAGAAGATTGTTACAGAAAACTAGAGAAAAAAGAAGAAGACAAATACAAGTAGAATATTGGTGGTGGCAATAGTGTTGAAGAGGGTGGATGATCTTGTAATGAGGGGGGTTGCTGATGAAGCGTCTCCGTTTCCGCGAGCACCGTTTTTGAAGTAGAATGGGAAATAGGGAAGGATGGGGTCAGGAGGGGGATTGGCACCAGCATATCCACCACCACCATTGTAAGTGGATGGAGGAGGGTTGTAAGAGGAATATCCCGATCCAGTTGGGTTATTGTAGACGGTCGGAGGAGGCGGGTATGACCCGGTTTGAGTCGACGGCGGAGGCGGTGTTGTGGTGGTCACCGGAGTAGTGCTGCCGGTGCCGGTAGGTGGAGGATAACATGGATATGCGCAGGGATTATCTGAAGTTGTTGTCGCCGGGAAGCTGAGAAGAATGGAGACCAGGAAGAGGGTTGAGAATGAGAGAATAAGTGGGTTTAATATGTTAGCAGCAGCAGCCATGGTGATGGTGCGTTAAAAAGGGTTTGTGGATGGAAAGGTTTTGAGGAAACGTTGAAATGAATAAGAGAAAGGAGAAAGGGGGTTGGGGGTTGGAGAAGAAAACAAAGTAAACAAGTGGAGTGGGTGAGTGGTGGTGGAGGTAAGCTGTTTGCTATTAGGAGGAGAAGGAGACTATGAGAGTCTTGTCACGACTCAAGAAAAACGGATAAAATAGAAAAAGAATCCATATATACAAAAGGAAGGGAGCGTACAAAAGCAAGTTGTATCTAGCTACTTTTGAGACGACTCTTAGTGTTTTGCGGTATAATTAGAGGATGTCACACTCGTACATGAAACTTGGATACTAGTTATTCAATGTTTGATACCAAAGGTTGGTTCCGAAACACATTTCAATATGAAAAGAAAAATAAAATAAACAAAACAAAACCTTGTGCATCCAAAAGTCATATAGGAACACCCGGCGCCTAGCTATATGACTAGATAAAAAGGTTGGATATGTGGTTTAGGCCCTTTGACAACAACACCCGGCGCCTTCCACTTCTACTCTCACGAGTCGAAGGCCACCACTCGTTCCGGCGGAGGAGCCCGAAGTGGCATGCTTTAAGGTCATGGGCCATTATGTCTTTCTCTCTCTCGAAGTGGAATGCGTGGCATGAGGAAATTGACTTGGGTCCCGTACTAGTAAATTAGTTAGAAGAACTCAACCCCACTTGGGGGAGCTTTATGCCGGGGGTGTACCTACTGTCTCTGAGAGGAGAGAAGAGAAGAGAAGGGAAGGTTGTAGACTTGTAGTCTAGCTAGCTATTATTATTGTAATAACAATAATGCCCTACGAACAAGGCAGCCCTATATGACTAGATTATTTTATTTTTGTGGACAAATTATATGAAGATCCGAAGTTGAATCTCATTACTCATTGTGAACTGCTAAAACTGGGAATATATTTTGGTAAATAGTTGAGTGACTTGGATGAAAACAGAGTAACCTTTTTTCGGTAGCAATCGTCGTTTTGGTCATCTCATGTTTGAAAATAAATAAAGTAAATGTCAATAATAACCTTCTCTCTCCCAAATGCCATGGTATTGTATCCTGTTCCCAGCTATTTACTTGAAACTTGTGTTAATCTACTGTCTTGGATCTTGCCAAACTCTCCAAAGGCATCGATGGAATGGAGTTTCGAAAAGCTTAATTAATGAGTTGTTAATCTTTGATTAATTATCATTAGACTATAATATAAGGAGGAACATTCTTGAGGCATAAGCCTTGTATAACAGGTACAATATTATTGTTATAAACTAGCTAGCTAGTCCTTTATTAAGTCACGAGTATTGACTACGTTGTGTGATGTCTAACTATCCATCCGAAATTGGTGCATGGTTTTCAATTTTATATTACCAAAGTAGAAGCAGAAATGAAAGTCTGTTTGGGTGTGATGTGCGTACATGGCCATGTGGATTGTCAACCTAGTCACTAAATTCTACACCTAACCATGTTCTTATATATAAAAGCTAGTGAGAAATTTGAGAATGGAATCATGGAGAGACAGAGACAGGTGTTTAATTTGCATTTGAAAAGCGTCCAAAATGTGATCCATGACTTTCTTTGCTACTTACGCAAATTTAAGGCACAGCTGGAAAAAGAAGTCAAAAGTAAGTGATGAGAGCTCGGTTGAGTGAGTTTCACGAACAAGTTCTCGTGTAGCCCACAACCCAACATAATCAACTGGATCGCTCACTAAATACCATTCGTTTCTATTTCTTAAACCTTGATCATGCAAACGAATACAAGGTCAAATTCATTTAGTTTCATCAAGATTCTGTGGTCCTAAATAAAAAATAAAATATAAAATATTCACGCATCTACACAACGTCAACATCTAAATAGAATCAAATAATAATATCGTTATCGTGATCTTAAACTTGCACATGTTAATGGTTGATTGTATATCTATTAATTTTAAGAAAATAATAAGAAGAAAATACATCCAAATGATTATAATTACATGATTTGCATCCCGACGAAAGACCGAAATTGAATACAATATAAGATAATTTTACTTACCAACCAAAATATATAATTATATGTAATGGAAAGGGTAACTTTCATTTTACTCGGAAAATGAAAGGTGTGTACGCAAATTAAATTATATCCGAATTATTTTTATAAGGGGTGACGTAGGTATGAATATGATGAGGAGACTCTATTCTTTTTAGTTTGAAATTTGTGGTTTAAAAAAGGATAATGCTTTGGGTCACCTGTAGAAAGAGGCGAGGGTGTTATGTAAAAAAAGGTCCATGGCCTAAACTTTATGAAACCTCTAAAGGTAGCATTATTTGATCCAACACTACAGGCTGTTGTGCTTCCTTATTGTCAACCAAACAGTCTGTATATAATAACAAAAATGCTACTTTCCTGCTTATACAATTTTATATACAACCGACAAATAAAGAATATTAATTAATGAGTGAATGTTAACATGGTAATTCCATTTCGAGGGAATGAATAACCACAATTGATTTGTCTTTTAAACACTTGTCATCATGATAAATCAGAACCATATAAATATATATATTTTCTTATGTGTATGTACGATCATGTGGATGTCATGTATTTTCTACTACATTTTCCTTCTTTTCTTCTTATTTATAATAGCATTCATACAAGGGCCCAACTCACTCAACTTGTTAGTTAGGCTTGGGACAATATTTGATTTGATCATTTACCCATCAGCCTGCTGTTTGGTTAGTTGCATGGTTGGTGTGGTGTAGCCTATTTTTCTCACAGCTACCAACTATTGCATTATCCTTGATCGAGCCAATCACACTGTACTGCGTGGCAAGGCATCTAAATTCATAATTACATTCTTACTAAATTAAGCCATGGTTTATCTCCAATTGCAGCACGAAGGGGTGAGTAGATAAGGACAAGTAAATCTTGATTAAACTTAATAATTACACACCAAACAAACCAACCCTATGAGGATATGAATATCGACGGACGAGGACGACCCACTAGCTAGTTGGCTTGCCTATAAAACCCAAGATTATGTATATGGATGTGAAAAGAGACATGCACTAAAAAGCTTGCGGGACCCTTTACATAGTTTGGTGAAACCGAAGTTGATCTCTCCTTGTAAAGCACAGAAGCACATGGCGCTTGTACATACGACACGTCGCCAGAATGGAATGACTTCTGACATCAAGATCAGATGGTTGGCATTTTCAAGTTTGCATGTCACTGACCGACAGGCCCACGTACTCAAATAGGCAAGCCACGTGAACCTTCCTAATTGGACATCAATTCACACGCGTCACCTTCACCGGATGAACGCTCAAACTTTTTTCAAATTAATCTCCTATTGCTATAAAAATACAATAACCATATCGTTCGTTTTAGATTAACTAAAGGCAAGTAGATTGCGAAAATTGTGTGTTTTGGTTTTGGAATGCATTGTCTTTGTCTAGTGTTGGCAATTGGTGACCAGTTTCTATCTATCTGTTATTAACTTGGCCGCCCCAACGCAACTAGTGCATAATACAAGGACATATCATTATCCTTGCATAATGCTAAAACAATAAGGATGGTCGCTGCTTCATTTTTTTTTCTTTTGGAATATATAAATAATAAAGTACACATGCCACCTGCACACATGACTCATGAGCCCTTCCTAAGCTAAGCTAACATGGCACATCACCCATTAATCATGGGGGTCCACATTAAAAGCAAGTTTTTTTAATTAAGACGTCAGTGGAAGTGCAAGCCGGTGAGTTGGGTTGGGTTGGGTTGGGTTGGCTGATCCATCCACACTCTCAAATCAACATATCCAGTGGATCGCATCAATTACCAATACAATCATAATTCTAAATTTCATAATTCAAGAGCTAGGGAAAAAGAAAAAGAACAAAGTCAATTACGTAATTACTGATCACGAGATTGACAATAAAATTGAAATCGAAAGATTATTACACAATTGATAAGAGCAAGTTTGAAAATATAAGTATTAAATTTGTGCCCTTATAATTCCCTGGAGTACAAAAATCAAACTGTTGATCCCTAATTATAACATCCAGAAAAATTTTATGTCCCTTAATTAAAACCATGTACCATCTGAACTAATCTTACTTACCGCATAAGAAATTACGAATGAACAAGTACATGATCACCAAAAGGCCAGAAGAAGACCCAACAATCCACAGCCAACCAAAACCGGTAACCCCGTGACCAAACTCCCGCTAGCACCATTGAAATTACGGTCAACAGGGTACAAATCCCCCGGTGGACCGGTGATGTATATCAACGGCGTGGACGGTGATGACGGTGTTGATGGTGTTGATGGTGTTGATGGCGTTGATGGCGTTGATGGCGGCGGAGGGCAGTACGGAGTGGACGGTGGTTTTTTGGGTGAAGGCGGCGGCTGTGACGGTGGCGGCGGAGATGGTGGCGGCGGTGATGGCGGAGGGGGGCTTTGAGAGCATGGGGCGCACTTTTCCCCACCAGGCGCGGGTGGGGTTTCGTCAGCATAGACTGGACCTGCTACGGAGGCAATCAAAAGGAACATGGCAATCATAGCCAGGGCCGGAGGTTTAAAGCAACGCATTTTGATCGGCATAGGGAGTTCCTGGCTGTGAATTTGATTGATATGTTGATATGGTACTGGTTTTTATTAGGGTGGAGTGGGTTTGGTGACTTTGAGGAAATTTGGTAGAAGGGGGAGGGGAAGACTGTGTGTGAGAGAGAGATTACGTTATTATTAGGTGCATGGAGTGAAAAAGAGTAGGCTTTTTTTGGGGGTTTGAGGGAATGGGAAATTGAAGTGAGGGAGACGTGTTGTGAGGGGCTTTTCTAATTTCTACTAGGAAGGAAAGATGTTGCTTTTTCTTCAAGGGAATCGCACTGCATGTGGATGGTCCAAATTTGTGGCCCCCACCACCATTTACATATGTCTAATCTTTTATTTTATTTGATGGTCGTATGAATGTATGTATATGTACATTGCTTTCTTATCAATCATTACTTAATGTACGATATGCATAGTATAATGTCGGATACTTTTACTATACGCATAGCCCTATAATGTAATAAGGTGTAATTAAAAAGAATCCTTGAAAGATCACAAATCTTAGAGAAAATTTTGGTGAATTATGAATTCATTCAAGAGTTCAATTGTGGAGGTTGGAGAAAATGGAAGTAGATCAAGCAAGCCAAAAACAACAGAAAAGAAGATATTTTGTGGCTTTCTCTTTCTTGAATTTTTTTAGTCTTCATTGTTGAAAGAAAAGAGATAGATGACTGAAAATCCCACTTAGAGATTGCAACAATAGTTAGAGTAGGAGTTCCCATCCATCATTTCTTCGTTTTACCTTCAAATTACAATTGATCTGTCGGATTCTATTAAATTTGTCCACATGTATAACAGTTTGAGTCGTGAGTATACACACACCTCCAATAAGAAAAAGAAAAAGAAAACTACATAAAGTAAGAGAATAGAAAGGAGGTTTCATTTCATCTAAACAGGATATAATTAAGAATAAAATAAACCCGAATATCTTTAGACAAAACAGGATATATTGTCCAGCCACCGGCCCCTTTAACATAAACATGCATCAAAATTATACAGCATCAATCGCCAGCGAAAAATGAGAGAAGAAAGCATGAAATATTTGCATCATTTGAACATTTTCTTTTTTTTTGGGTAAGTTTATTATGTGTTCATTCACATGATGACTCATGAGCCTTTTGGGGAATTCTGTTCTTCATGTTGCAGCACATAATTGATTGGGGGATATATATCAATATCAGATCATCATCAGCTTAGCTGGGGTCGATTGCCTAATTGTTGAACAGTAGTTGCCTACTTTTGTTTGTCCTCGATAGTTTCATATGCGCCAGACTTATAGGTGTTATAATTATACTGATATACATTATCACGATGAGACCGACCCTGAGTGAGAAGAAACAAAGACCAAGGACTCTTGCGGAAGACTTGCAAAAGACTAGTGGCCACAAGCCACAAACAAATCAACATTTCATTGTCAATATTTGGGAGATTCCAATTTCCAATGCCCATATTATGGACACGTTTGATGACATAGAGGCCCTACTCTCTACACGTTTGATGAGCTGCAGTTCCGGGAGAGAGAGAGACACCTGCACTGCACTGCACCTTTTGCTTGGATCATCAAAAAAATGAATCATTTTATAAGATTTACCTTTTCTCTCTCTCACTTTGGGGCTTTGAGCTTTACAGTGCTAATTTGTGTTGTTGTAACCCAAGTGTGCAGTATTAAACTGTTGCTAGCCACAGAGAGACACATTGAAATTGTAGTGATGAGGAACTTAACCTTGAAGAAACTTTAGAGAGAGAGAGGGAGGATACAAAAAGCTATGAATGTGGAATCTACATATATGCGTCTCAAAGGGAGATATGGAGATAATTGGTCATAAAGGGGCACCGTCCCATTTTCTCAAAGCATATTCTTCCCTCCCCTTTTCTTCCTTCAGATCCAGGTCAACTTCCCCAATAACACACACTACTATAAATAATTCATTCATTCAGCCTAGCTAAAGCTAAGGATGATGATCTTCGGAACCTTCTTTCCTTAAAACTAATCAGTATTTCTTTTCCCGGAAACCAATTATTAATTGTTAGTCCAATAATGAAATAATCATGGTGCATTCATTATTTGGCAGGAAAATAACACCAAAAACAATCACATGGTGTACCCGGAATATGCAAAAATTACTTCAAAAACAGTTTTTGCCTAGACCACATGCCAATATGACAATTAATAATAATAATATGCCCTGTAAGAATAGCCAATAACTGGGTAAGGTTGAATTGAAGGCCAAGAGATATGCAGACTTGTTTTATATATGGAGCTGGTGAGAAGGATTGCACCAATACGACTGGGAAGCTGCTTATTGATTAGATTCAATTATTCAATTATTGTGAACACAAATCAAACAGTCGTGACGTATCCAATGGATATACTTTTGGCTTGGCCCAGCGCGACCATAACTTTATATCAACATTGTTGTCATTTTGTTCAGTAATTAAAAAAAATCAGTACCAAATGCTTTTCCTTTTCCCACAAGTAATTCCAAGAGAAAGCAATGCAACATGAAAAGCCAACCCACTCAACAACCTTAGGCAATTATTAAAGAAAAGTCCAAACTCCAATTAAACGACAAAGCATAGCATGGGCTATCCCACTCAAATCCAAAGCTCACTGTATTTGTACGATGGCCCTATGCATTGCAAGATCAAATCCAGTCATTCTTTTTCCTGGGTTGGGCTTTTGTTCATTAAACCCCAATCAATCTGTTAGTACGAAATTTGTATTGGCATTTCCTAGACTTTAGTATAGGGTGAAAATTAGTTTGTGAGGAATTGTTATTGAACGCTTTGTCACTACTCTTTCAACCCCACACTTCCGAGGCATGTCCTGACCATATGAGAATCTTGACCTCAGGTAAATCATGACATAATCATGCATTCATTATAGGATTCCTAGTTGGAGTTATTTTCACTCAAGTATTTTTATGTTAATCTTATTTTTAATAGGATTAGATTTTATCTCTTGAGATTACTTTCCTAGTTAACTCTATTTTGATTGAAGTTAAAATATTAAGTTTTCATCATCTTGGACTTGGAAAGGATGTTTGAATGATATCCTATTTGGCTTCGTTGTTTACATATTGATACACTGTTTTGTTGGATCAATTGTGATTGGAAAATCAACCTCTATAGTAAAAGATGACGAAATAGAATAGGACTTTTTTCAATCAAATCTGATTTGGCACGTTTGTGATACCTTAGTTTTTTGAATCATCTCTTGGAAGATACAACACAGTTGTATAAAGCCAAGGCGTGCATCTCCTTCTTGGATACAGCTTTTGAGATATTTGTTTTGAGCATATAGAATTCTAAGAAAAGCTGCTGTGCGTATATTTGAGATAAATCATCAAGTGTTCAATGTTTACTTGGTGATTTATCAAACACTTTAATCATTCATATTGCATTCATATGCATGTCGGTGACTCATACGGTTGAGGGCACCAAGACCGTGGTGGCGGTTTTTCTCCGGTGAGCTTGAAGCAATCGTGGCCAGTATTGCGTTCAACATAAGGAGTGTCGAAGATCATCCTGTGACAGAAGTTGAGTTACGAAGAAGTCGGTAAACATTATCTAGAGTGTGTCTAGGATAAGTGTGTGAGTACTTCTTGTAATCATCGTTCTATAGTGGATTTGTGTTGGACTGAGAAGTCCCGTGGATTTTCCCCAGAGGTGGGGTTTTACCACGTAAAATAATTCTCTGTGTGTTCTTTTAATTTAAGCTCTGCACATTACAGGATTGATAGGCCATATCAATCCTGCATCAAAAGTTTATTATTATTTATTGCAAAAAATTCGAATTAGCCTGTTTAACCTTCTCTAGGCATATATAGACATCCTACAGGTATTTTCAATTGGCATCAGAGCAGGTTGCTGGACATACTCAGCAAGATCTAACATACCTTACGATGGATCGTGCCGCGGGTTCTGTTGCACATCCACCATATTTCGATGGCAACAACTATGGTGCTTGGAAGGCCAAAATGAAGTCGTTTCTTTGGTCCTTAGATGAACGTGTATGGTACACAGTGGTTCATGGATTTTCTGAACCCACAAAGAAGATCGGAAAAGGAGATGAAGAAACCACAGTTCTCAAATCTAGAGAGGAGTGGACCACTGCAGAAGTCACACACAGTACTAATAATCAAAAAGGGTTAAATGCTATATTTACTGCTGTATCTTCTGATCAATTTGAATATATATCTAGTTGTGATACTTCTAAGGAAGCTTGGGATATTTTGCAGGTCACTCATGAAGGAACAGATACTGTCAAGGGTGCCAAGCTTCAAATGCACACTCTACAATTCGAGACAATTCTGATGGATGAGAATGAAACCTTTTCTGAATTTTATGCCAAACTTTGCGTTATTGTGAATGCATGTTCAAATTTAGGTGAAAAAATTCCAGAAGATAGGGTGGTGAAAAAGATTTTACGGTCCTTGCCTCCACGTTTTTCACCAAAGATCACAGCCATTGAAGAGATTCGTGACCTGAACACTCTGAAAGTTCGTGAACTTATAGGGTCGCTTCAAACCTACGAGATGAAGCATCTAGCTCCTAAGAAAAATAAAAGCGTTGCTCTTAAAGTAGTTGATAATGAAGATGGTGAACACCAATCTGAAGAATTCAATGGGGAGGAATTTGCTTATCTTTCACGACAATTCAAGAAGTTTTTCAAATATCAAAATTCGAGAAGTCATGATTCAAAAAATCACTCAGGTATAAATTCAAAAATTAAGCATGGTGATTACACTGATGGTAATTTAAAATCTCGCAGGTTTACTGAGAAGAAGACCACTAAAGACAGAGTCAAGTGCTATGAATGCGAAGGATATGGACATATTTCCACTGAATGTGCCAACACACAAAAGAAGCAAAATGGCAAAGCCAAAGCACTGAATGTAACCTGGAGTGACAGCGATTCAGAATCTGAAAGTGAAGAAAATACCATTGCGTTAATCACCACTGTTAGTTTGGATAAGGCACAGCAAAACAATGGGAATGATGAAGAACCAAATATTGGTTATGTGCTGGAAAAATATGACGATCTTCTAGCTGCCTCTCAGAAACTGAATCAACACAACAAAGAGCTTGCCAAAAAGGTTGCTGTGCTGGAGCTTGAAAACAGTAGGATTGCCAGGACATTACAATCCTCTACTGCTGAACCAGAAACAATTGGTGAAGGTGTGTGAAGGTATGTACGAAAAATTGGAATTCTTACAGAAAAAATGCTTTGATCAAAATAAATTAATTGATTCCTTGACCTCTAACAACCAAGCTCTTGAAATTGAGCTTAAAAGTTCAAGGGAAAGGATTATTGCTTTGACAATTGGTGCAGAAAAGGTTGACAAAATGATTAGCATGGGTCGAAGAGATGGAGACAAACGTGGCTTAGGTTTTGATTCACTCAACAAGTCTTCCGCTGTATCTGTTACAAAGTTTGTCAAACCATCACTTTCTACTGGTATTCCAACTCATCAAACAACTTGGAGATTTACACCCACGTGTCATTATTGTGGAGCTCGTGGACACATTCGACCAAAATGCAAACTGTTTCAACAGATTTTTGTAAGTCAAAAGTCCACCAAGGAGGGACAGGTAAGAATTCGAAACAAGATTGCATGTCTTGTAAAAGAGGTAAGTAGGCTGTCAAAACTCTCTCATTCCCTATCCTTACCAAGTTCAAATCTAGTGTGGAGAAGAAAGGATAATCAAAATTGCTTGCTGGCAATTTCAAGTGATTCACATCAAACTAATCCTCCTGAAATATTAGATGTGAAATGTTTTGTTGCTCTTACTGCTCTTTCTGACTCTAAATCTAAATCTTGGTATTTTGATAGTGGATGTTCGAGACACATGACTGGTGAAAAATCATATTTTTCAGAAATCTCTCCAGAATGCGTGAGTGGAATGGTTACTTTTGGAGATGGAAGAAAATCCAAGATTTTGGGCAAAGGAAAGATTATGGCAACTGGTACACCTAGCTTGGACAATGTTTTATTAGTTGAAAATCTTCAAGCAAACCTCATCAGTGTAAGTCAACTTTGTGATGAAATAGGTGAGGTAAGTTTTACTAAAACCCAATGTATTGTTAAGATAAAGATGGATTAAATGTGATGATTGGAAACAGATCACCTGACAATTGTTATTGTTTTTCCACTAATGAAGTTTCTCAAGTGTGTTTTAGGACAAGTAAAGATCATCTTGATTTATGGCATCAACGTTTGGGACACATGAACTATCAAGACCTAATTAAATTGTCAAATTGTGAATCTGTAAGAGGATTGCCCAATCTTTCAGGTAAACGTGAGGGTGTTTGTGAAGGTTGCCAACTGGGAAAGCAAACCAAAAACCCTCACAAAGCTACAAACTCAATCTCCACCTCTAAAACTTTGGAACTGATGCATATGGATTTGGTTGGTCCAATTCAAGTTGCTAGCTTAGGAGGAAAGAAATACATTCTTGTCTTAGTAGATGATTTCTCACGTTTTACTTGGGTCATTTTTTTGCATGATAAGACAGAAGCCTTTAATTCCTTCTATGTTTTGTACAAGCTAATCATGAATGAAAAATATGACACTAATTCTTGTATCATGAGACTTAGGACAGACCACGGGATGGAATTTGAAAATCGTGCCTTCTCTGATTTCTGTTCTGAACAAGGAATAAAACATGAATTCTCTGCTCCAATCACTCCCCAACAAAATGGGGTAGTTGAAAGGAAAAATAGAGTCCTCCTTGACATGGCTCGTGTCTTGTTAAAAAGTGCCAAATTGGCGGATCATTTTTGGGCTGAAGCCATCAGTACTGCATGCTATACATCTAACCGTGTGTTTTTCAGGCCACATACCAAGAGCACTCCATATGAAATCTGGAAAGGGAAGAAACCAAATGTCAAGCACTTAAGGACTTTTGGTAGTAAATGCTACATTTACAAAGACAGGGAGTATCTTGGAAAATTTGATGCAAGAAGTGATGTTGGAATATTTCTTGGTTATTCTATGAATAGTCGAGCATATAGGGTGTTTAATAGTCGCACTAAAATAATAATGGAATCAGCTAATGTGGTTGTAAATGACACTTCTATATTGCAGGTTGAACCTAGGAGTGAAGATACAGATATGGAAACTCACGAATCTGCAGATGGTACTGAAGCTGACTTCGAGGATTGTAACCAGCCTATCAATCCTGTGATACGCAGACCTGGTGCAAAACAAGTTCAGAAAGATCACTCACCTTCAGATGTTATTGGGAATGTTAATGATAAATTGAGAACTCGACAACAAGTCTGTAATGAGGTAACCAATTTATGTTATGTATCCCTTATTGAACCTAAGAGTGTGACAGATGCTCTTGCAGATGACGACTGGATTCTGGCTATGCAAGATGAATTAAATCAATTCGAAAGAAATGATGTGTGGTATCTTGTTCCACGTCCCAAAGACTCAAATGTAATTGGTACCAAGTGGATCTTTCGAAATAAGACAGATGAGAAAGGACAAATTATGCGCAACAAAACTAGACTTGTTGCCCAAGGTTATTCTCAAATTGAAGGTTTGGATTTTGATGAGACTTTTGCTCCGGTTGCACGTTTAGAATCTGTTCGATTGTTGCTATCCATTGCATGTTATCTTCAGTTCAAGCTTTATCAGATGGATGTGAAGAGTGCGTTCCTAAATGGAGTTTTACAAAAGGAAGTCTATGTGGAACAACCTGCAGGTTTTCAAGATCCTATCCATCCCAATCATGTATATCGTCTGAAAAAGGCTCTCTATGGACTCAAACAAGCCCCGAGAGCATGGTATGATAGATTGTCCACACATCTTCTTCAAAAAGGGTACACTCGTGGTAGCATTGATAAGACCCTCTTTGTCAAAAGAACCAAACAAGATTTAATGGTTGCTCAAGTATATGTGGATGATATTGTTTTTGGATCTACTTCAGACATCCTTGTCAAAGAATTTCATGAGGTAATGCAAACCGAATTTGAGATGAGCATGTTTGGTGAACTAAATTTTTTTCTTGGTTTGCAGGTTCAACAATTCAATGGAGGCATGTTCATATCTCAAACAAAGTATGCCAAAAATTTGGTGTCCAAATTTGGTCTAGAATCTGCCAAGCCCATTCGAAATCCTATGAGCACAAGCACCAAACTTTCCAAGGATTTACATGGCAAAAGTGTAGACCAGAAATTATATAGAAGCATGATTGGCAGCTTGTTATATTTGACTGCCAGTAGACCTGACATCTCCTTCAGTGTTGGACTTTGTGCTCGCTTCCAATCCGATCCCAAAGAATCACATCTACTTGCTGTGAAAAGAATTCTCCGCTATGTGAGTGGTACCACAAACTTTGGTGTATACTACTCATTTGACTCAAATGTTGAACTTGCAGGCTATTCCGATGCGGATTGGGCTGGGAGCATTGATGATAGAAAAAGCACAACTGGCGGATGTTTTTACATAGGCAACAACCTTGTCTCTTGGTTTAGCAAGAAGCAAAATTGTGTCTCTCTCTCCACGGCCGAGGCCGAGTACATCGCTGCTGGGAGTTGCTGCACACAGTTGTTATGGATGAAACAAATGCTCAATGACTACGGCATTCGGCAAGGTAAAATGGTCACGTTTTGTGATAACATGAGTGCAATTAATATCTCTAAAAATCGGTTCAACACTCTCGCACAAAACACATTGATATTCGTCACCATTTTATTCGTGAATTAGTGGAAGAGAATGTGCTCTCACTTGAATTTGTTTCTACTGCAAAACAATTAGCTGATATTTTCACAAAACCTCTAGACAATCTACGGTTTGAAACCCTTAGACAGTCATTAGGTATTTGTGCTCTTGATTGATTCGGAGTCCACTGCATGCCAATGCCTATTCTTGCTGTATGCTGTTTAAATTATTTTATATTTTTATAACTCTGTCCAGCTCGTGCAAGGATTGTTAGGCTGCATCAATCCTGTAGTTGTCTGAACGTATTAGCTGATCTTAGATTGGACTCTGGTACAGCACTCTATTGAAGCCACACACTCACAGCTTTCCACAAAGGTTTCCATTGTCTTGGTGCATTATAAACTTCATTAAATGATCTATCCATCTATTTAGCTTTATATTGCACACCACACTCTTTTTCTTGAAGTCCTTGAATATCTCTTCTCATGCACTTGTCTCTCTTTGGATTGCCATCACACTACTGTGCGTAAGTTCTTGATCTGGTTATAAAAAATAAAATAAAAAAATAAAAAAAAAAAAAAAAGGTGTTGACCACTCATTGCTCAGTAACCGGGCCTCTTGTCTAACCAACGTCGAGGTTCGAGTCAACAGGTTGTGATGGTCTGCTATCCTTGCTTATCTTTGGAGCCTTCATGATTCGGATCAGTATTTCCCCAGGGGTGCTTTATCACCCAGTTGCTTCCAGTCATCTGACGTGAGCATATTGATTGACCATCCGTTACATGGATCATGTCGAAAGCTAAATAAAGAAAGCCCTCAAAAAAAAATAAAAAATAAAAAAATAAAAATAAATAAAAAATAAACCGATCTTCTTATACTTACAATGCACTTAGTGTATGTGTCATCTTTGGTGGATCAGTCTTGGGTGGCTGTACTTTTTGTGCTTCATTGAAAGGAGTTCACTTCACACTTTTGCTTCCTGATGGTAGACTCATTTGGTGTTGTTTATCTTTCACCTTGCATGTGGTCTGCCTCCTTGATTATCTGTGAATTTGTGCGTTTCATTCAGTGGCCTGCTTTTGTTCCTGCTATGCTTTGCTTCTTATGCGTTCCAGACAACAATGGGTCTGCTCCTACTGTCTCGTCTTGCTCACTTACCTGGCATGTTTTTGAATGGAAAATAATTACATCTTCCCGAGAGCTTTGTGGCTGCATCACATGTGTATTCTATATCTTGGTTTTCTATCTTCAGTGTGTCCTAGTTTTCTTTTCGTTTTTTTTTGTTTTTGTGTTTTTGTTTTGTTTTTCTTCTTGTTTAGACAGTTTTTTTTTCCATTCCAAAAAAAAAAAAAAAAAAAAAAAAAAAATGCAACCACACGGTGCGTTTTACTCTGTGTGTTTAAACTGTGCAGATTAGGTCATCTTCTTCCTCAATCAGATTCGATCTCTCTTCAGCCCCCATTGCTGTCACCCAAGGGTCACGGCGTCTGCTACTTCGTGTCTTGCTCTGTCGCATCACCATGGTCACCACACGGAGCCGTCGTACCTCCTCATCTGCTGCTACTGATCACCGCCCCTCCCGCTCCGTGCGCCCGCCGAACTGCTGCTTCTCCTTCCTCGGGTGTCACGCCGACTGCAAGCCCATCACGACCGTCCTCCTCCCGGCGCTCGCTCTCCAGCACAACGTCTCGTGCATCCCCTCATCCACCGGCCTCCCACTTCGTTTCTCCGGTGTGTGCTACTCGGTATACAGATGTAATCTGTCATCGTCCTCTGTTGATCGAAGAGGATTTCGACCTCTCTAGTTTTGGCCCCACTTTTGTTGATTTTCTCACTAGGCATCGTCTCTTGCCATTAGTTCGTGGGTTGCCTCTACCGAATTTTCAGATCGTTCGGGAGTTTTATGCAAATTTTCCTAATGTATCTGCTGCCTCTGTTGCATTGTCTGGGTTTGGTTGTGCGTGTGCGTGGGGTTGCGATTCCGCTCAGTTTCCACTTTATTTCGGCTGCCCTGGGTCTGCCTCCTATTCGCTCTGGAAGTTCGTGTGAGCCAGTTCCTGATTTTCTTCCGCGTCGTCAGCTGGTGAATCGCCTCTATGTGTCTCCACCGGAGGTGCTCCCCACTGAACTCTCCTCTGGTATGATGTCTCAGTGGACCCGTACTCTGTATATGCTTGTGCGAAACTGTCTGAATCCCACTTCTCAACATGGGAAAGTGAGTTGGAAAGCTGCTCATATTCTCTTCCAGCTAGTGATTGAGCAATCTGTCAGTGTTGAGTTCTATGTTCGTGAAAGCCTTATTGTCGCTGGTGCTGCCAATGCCACAGTTCCGACATCCAGTCTTGTTTTTCCTCGGATTATCACTGCCTTGGCCGCTCATGCTCGTGTGCCTGCCCTTCCTACAGATGATATTGGCTCATCCGACTCCCTCAAAGTCAACAACCAAGTCACTTTACACCGCAGCGATGCTCACTGTACTTCTGGTGGTTTCTCCATCGAGCAACAGGCTCTTTTGGATTCACTCTCTGCCTCCCATCAGGTGACGCATGCACTTCTTCGTCGCATCTGGAATCGTCTTGACACCTATAGTGAGCTGTTGCTATCTGTTGCTGGGCACATTCAGCCTACTGCTCCTCCCCGTTCTCCTCGGGCTCGCAGCATCTAAGGTTCTTCTGTTCTGCTTCTGGTTGTTTTCTTTTTGAGGTCCTCTCTGTGTCCCTTTGGATTTCCTAAACAAAAAGGGGGAGAATATTTTGTGGTATATATGAAATTTAGGGAGAGTAAATATTTTGTGGTACATATGAGGTTTAGGGGGAGTTAATGTTTTCTGTCTTTGGGATCAGAACTTGTGGTACTCTGCTTAACCTCCTGACATATGAAATATTTAACTGTGCTAAGTTCTGGCTATTATTATCTCAATTCTATTATGCTTCACTGGTCGTCTGGTTGTTGTTGTGCAGACATTGCAAGAACTGAATATCTGTCTGACAAAGCAAAGTAGGATATGTAGGTTTTTTTTTCTTGTAAACGTATTTGAAATGTAATCCAGTGTTTTGTCCAGGAAATGCCAAAGGGGGAGATTGTTAGTACGAAATTCGTATTGGCATTTCCTAGACTTTAGTATAGGGTGAAAATTAGTTTGTGAGGAATTGTTATTGAACGCTTTGTCACTACTCTTTCAACCCCACACTTCCGAGTCATGTCCTGACCATATGAGAATCTTGACCTCAGGTAAATCATGACATAATCATGCATTCATTATAGGATTCCTAATTGGAGTTATTTTCACTCAAGTATTTTTATGTTAATCTTATTTTTAATAAGATTAGATTTTATCTCTTGAGATTACTTTCCTAGTTCAACTCTATTTTAATTGAAGTTAAAATATTATCTTTTCCTATTGTGACTTTGATTGTTGCTTACCTCTTAGTTAATTTGGTTTAAAGAGATGCGTCATTACTTTGAGTCCAAGGTGAATCAAATCTCTTATTGATGATAGGTTGTGGTGCAATAGGAAGTTGAAGATTCATGGCCTATTGGGTTTCTCTCCCTTGAGAGAGAACAAGTCTTGTATAAAAGATCATGTGCCATTCTTTTATTTATACAGCTTTTGAGATATTTGTTTTCAGCATATAGAATTATAAGAAAAGCTGCTGTGCGCATATTTGAGATAAATCATCAAGTGTTCAATGTTTACTTGGTGATTTATCAAACACTTTAATTATTCATATTGCATTCATATGCATGTCGGTGACTCATACGGTTGAGGGCACCAAGACCGTGGTGGCGGTTTTTCTCCGGTGAGCTTGAAGCAATCGTGGCCAATATTGCGTTCAACATAAGGAGTGTCGAAGATCATCCTGTGACAGAAGTTGAGTTATGAAGAAGTCGGTAAACATTATCTAGAGTGTGTCTAGGATAAGTGTGTGAGTACTTCTTATAATCATCGTTCTATAGTGGATTTGTGTTGGACTGAAAAGTCCCGTGAATTTTCCCCAGAGGTGGGATTTTACCACGTAAAATAATTCTCTGTGTGTTCTTTTAATTTAAGCTCTGCACATTACAGGATTGATAGGCCATATCAATCCTGCTTCAAAAGTTTATTATTACTTATTACAAAAAATTCGAATTAGCCTGTTTAACCTTCTCTAGGCATATATAGACATCCTACAGGTACTTTCACAATCTTTCAAGCCCAAGGCATATAAACTAAGTTGCACAATTCCATTGCCTCCAAATTGAGTCCAGTACAACAAACAGGTCCAATGGCAGGGACTTGAGATTTCCAAAAAACATTTTCTACAAAGTCACTCAGAATTGACCACAACAGCAAAAGGCAAACTACAACAAGCAACTACTTCCCCCACTAAAATGAAAAGAAGCCATTTCCTAGGCTTGGTACGTGTAGAGCTGAGCCGTCCACCCCTGAATGAGATTCCAGACGCGTCCTCTTGGTCTTGAAGCATCCAGACTGTTCAAAAGCTGATTGTCCACAGAACAAAGACGGAGGAGGAGACTCGAACCCTTGGGCCATCTCCATCAACATTGTCTGTAGATCCTCCATGCTATAATTCTTTGCCTGATCACCACTCCAAATTACATGACCCCAATTAGAATTCCTAGAAACGACTAAGTAGAAACTCTCTCTACCATCACACCAAGAACCAACCAAATTAAGCTAAAAAAGAAAACAAGATCAGAGAGTCTAGTCTAGTCTACCTCTCTTCTGGATTCGGCCATGAGAGAGACCATTTCTTGCACAAAATCACAGAATCCCTGCGGTACACATCAGTTGTGTGTAAATTAGGTGCCAAAGACACAGCACAATAAAGAAACAGAGGAAACGAAAAAGGCAGCTTAAATCAACATACAAAGAGGGCCTTGATTGAAGAATAAATAGAAACATAAAGACCCACCTCGTCGTCTTCCTCATCAGGATCATATAAGCCTGCATCGTACATGGTCCGCTTCCTCCGGTCTGATAACACTGCTCCAATCAAAACCCAAAAACAGGGTTAAACAAAAGCTGTATCAAATCAATCAACACTCGAAGATTCTTTTAAATGAAAATAATTAATAATTCAAGAAGAAACCCTACACACACAAAAACACCATTTAAAACAAAATTATGTTTATATACCTGAATAGGCTTCTTGAATAAGCTGGAATTTTCGCTTGGCTTCACCCAACAAAGAAGGTGTTCTTGTCCACCTGTCCGGATGCCATTGCTGCACCAACACAAGTTAACCAAACACACAACGTCAACTCTACACTCATTTCATTAATTAGCACAAAAATTTCCGAATTAAATAATCCAAAAGCACAGAAACCCAACCAAAAAGACGCATCTTTTCTTCTCTTTGTCACCATGTAAAAACACAGGGTTTTTCTCTCTCCGAAATCTAGTCGTTTTCTCTGGACGTGATCTATGTATATATCATGCACTTATATATATGAAAATTAGAATCTAGAAAAGAAAAGAGAAGATGATAAATTTTACCTACCATAGCAAGCTTACGGTAAGCACGCCTTATATCTTCAATGGAAGAGTCCGAACTGACACCAAGAACTCTGTAGTAAGATGGCGAACCCTGTCCAGTTTCCATCTCCTCCACCAAAATCACCACCACCCAAGAAAACCAATCTCAGAGCTTCTTTTAATTCCCAATCAAACACCCAACTTCGCAAAGCACAAGTTCCTCAAGCACTTTTATTAACCACGTGTACAGTTCTGATATCAGACTCTTGTTAATCTTGAATGCTATAGAAACCAGAGGACCATTGAAATACAATTACCAAGTAATACAAACAAGAACAGATTGAAGTGGAGGGTGGTGGTAGCGTATTTATAATACAGTGATGGCTGGCTTAGCTATGGCGGTTTCTGAAAACAGAGGAAAAATATCTTCTGGGTTTCCAATCTGGAATGTTCCGGAACAACTTAATAAATGACGTGGAAGTTTCTTTTGCGACAAGGGCCGTAGATTTTTTCGGGGTTTAGATATTTTGGGGTTTGCTAAATGTTCAGCTCAGCTTGGACAAAAATGAAGAAAAACAGCATTGCTTATTTTTAATTTTTTATGTTGATGGCAGAGATTCCAATTTGAATACAAAGGTAAATGTGCCATGGGCTGAAACTATATCCCAAGTCCAACAAAAAGAAACTAGGCTTTGGAATTTAAAGTTCTAATATTAGCTTGGGCTACTTCGTCTCAGGCCTGAAAGAGATTGGACTTTGGGCTACCGCATGTAAACTTAGGTTTTGTCAGCCTTTGGAAGTTTGGATCCAAAACAAAACTGAACAAGGTTATTAACAGCGACTTTTTCTTGTTGGCCGAACAAATATAAATATTTGTTTGTTTTGCTTGCTCTTTAGCTTTGAGAAAGGAAATCGACGGCCGCAAAGAGTTTGTTTGTTCAATTTTTCCGGCGAATTCATCCATCGTTTGTTGTTTTGACAAGAAATCATATCTGGAAATGGGAGACTGGAGGCTGCCTGCCCTTGGATTGTTTGACAAGAAATAATCTTTAATATCACTATAAATGCACACCAGTCACACTACATACTTCCATCATCACTCCAACATTGAAAAACGAAAAACACCATGCCTCCAATCGCATCCAGACCATCGTTTCTCTCCTTCATTGTCTTCGTCCTCACCATCTTGCTGGGCCCAATCCCAACCCTAACCCAAGCCGGAAAGCCCCACCACATCAATTTCCGATCCCCAAACCTCTACCCAGAAGGCGTCACCTATGACCCATCCGCCCAGCACTTCATTGTCGGCTCCCTCCACCATCGCATCATAGTCTCCGTCTCCGACGCCGGCGTCGTCGACACCCTAATCTCCGACCCTACCCTCCCCGAAAACGTCTCCGTTGTCGGCCTCACCGTCGACTCCGTCAACAACCGCCTCCTCGCCAATATTCACGCCCTGGCCCCGCTCCCCGAATTCAACGCGCTCGCTGCCTACGACCTCCGCACGCGCCAACGCCTCTTCCTTTCCCGCCTCCCCTCGGATGACGTCAGCGACGGGACACGTCAGATCGCGAACGACGTCGCGGTGGACTTCAAGGGCAACGCCTACGTCACCAACTCGGCCGGCAACTTCATCTGGAAGGTCAACGCCCAAGGGGAGGCCTCTATCTTCTCCAAGTCTCGGGCGTTCACTGCGCAGCCCGTGGACCGAGACCTGCCGTATAGTTTCTGCGGCCTAAACGGCGTCGCTTATAACAGTAAGGGGTATCTTTTGGTGGTGCAATCGAATACGGGCAAGATGTTCAAGGTGGACGCGGAGGACGGGACGGCGAGGCTGGTGCTTCTGCCGGAGGACATGCATTTCGCCGACGGGATCGCGATCAGAAGCGACGGCGTCGTTTTGGTGGTGTCCCATAAGACACTGTGGTTCTTGAAGAGCCAGGACAGTTGGGGGGAGGGTGCGGTTTATGATAAAATTGACCTCGACGCCGAGGGTTTTCCTACTTCGGTGGCGGTCGGGGCGGAGGACAGGGTGTATGTGCTGCGTGGGCACGTCATGGAGGGTATGACGGGAAATGTGGAGAGGGAGGAGTTTAGCATTGCGGAGGTGAGGTCGGTGAGGGAGAGCAAGGAAGACAGTGTCTGGATTTTCGTTTTGATCGGCCTGGGATTAGCTTATTTCTTGTTTTGGAGGTTTCAGATGCGCCAGCTTGTTGGCAACTTGAACAAAAAGACCAATTAGTTTTTGTTCCTTGTTTTTCTTTTTTCACATTTTGTAGATTACTGTTGTAACAGATCAAATATCAATGAAGTTTGATTTTTCTGCAATATAAGATTTGCACATGGTAACAAAGAAAAACATAGCCAGGAGCAAAAATGATCATGCACTCATAGGTTTATTACTGATATTCAACAACGAAATCGTGATCCCAAGTTCTGAATTAACAGAGGCCAATTAAAATTCTATAGAAGCATAAACTTTCGACAAGTGTCATGCTCTACTGTCTCAACAAAACTATTAGGCAGCCAAAGTTCAACAACCCCAACAATGGAATGAACGACCATTTATCAGAGAAGAATTACCATCTCAAGGCAGAATTGCTTCCACTGGTGGTACAAGCAGGCTTCCTTGAGCATTTTGAGGTGGTGCAGGGGGCAAAGTTTGAGGCTTTTTCTCCTCTGACGATGGTGGTGATGGGTATGGCTCTTTCCCATCATTGGTCTTTGGCTTTGACAACCCAAACTGTTCCCTGATCTTCTCAAACTTCTCTTGAATTTTCCTCCTGATCTCGGGCTTGACAATGCGCGCTTCCGCAGGTTTTATAGGAAAAAGAGCGGCTGCTGCCAGTGTCCCAGCAGGCAAACATAACATCAAATCTCTTCGTGAAACACCAGAGGCTTTTGGAGCTTCTATTTTGCATTTTCCCTCACTTCTCACCTGCAATAATTCAGAAAAGGAGAAGTTAAATAAAGGTGCATCTCAGAGATGAATTCAGTAATCCTACACGAACGAACTTAGTCTTTTGTTACTTGTAGTGTAACCAAGAACTGAGAAGTACTAGAAAGTACTAATAAGGGTATTAGAAGAGCCTACTTTCTGGAGGCCCTTTGACAAATAAAAATCAATCTGCTCAAGTTATGTATGATTTAACCATTTACAGCATACAGTTTGGAGGGACCTTAATTACCAAAGAAGGACGGGCAAAAATCCCATCCTACCACTAAGCAAAAACTAATCCATCTTCCTTGTGATCCATTTGTATTTATGACCAGAAATTAATGAAATTTTCAGTAGCTTAGAGTCTTAGATCTTTGGGATAAAAACACTCAAACTAGAGATGACAAAGCAGAGCATATATTTGGTACTTCTTATTCAGATTAGCATGAATTCATCACAACGAGCTTACACTGTGGCCAGAAATTAACTTGAGCAATGGGCATCATATGGAAAAGGTTACAACAAATGTGACACAAGTACCCTAGGTTCTATTATCAAAATCTTGGTAACTTATCTCCGCCAAAAACATACATTACGTAGATTCTATGGAAGCTAAGAAAGATATTTCTCTTCTCCTCTTGTCTGAAACTCAGGAAGCAGAGACTCCTACAATGAAATTTAAATGCCAACTATGAAATCTAAGGATGCCATGGTCCACGGTTTAATATCATGCTCTTAACCTGCTTGTTTATGGACCATATTAGGCAGATCAGCAGCTGCATATGTAATTGATGATCGCCCAAATATTATGCTACCATACAATTGATGATCTTCTAAACATAATGTGTACCATTTACGAACATCGAAACAATTCCAAGTATTTGGAAACAATGCACTTAGTTTCACATGGCATGAGACGATTAAGTTCCGACTCAGTGATACCAACTAGTAAAACTACTTTGGAACCAAAAAACTGTTGAGCTGAAATTAAGTTCCGACTGCAGGTGCGCGCTACAATCTATAGACATAGGAGGTCTGTAGCCTCACATATCAGAGGACCAATTAACTGAGTTAGACAAAAAGTGAACAAACATTAGGATATCAAAAGAGAGAATTCAAACCTTACAGCTTACAGTTTAAGTTTCTTAACAAATTTCCGAAAATAAGGAAACATAAACTAAACAACTCATTCATTGTTATGAAATTACACATGTTTTTGATCTGCAACTATGTGAACAAAATGCGACCCACTAGTATAGTACATTCATAAATGATTGCAGCACGGAGTTTACTACAAAGAATGATCCGGTAAAGTAAATTACCCTATAGATAATTCATATTACATAATTGGGTTTAAAAGGAAAACCCAAATGCATTTGCAGTTGAAAACTTCACCCAAAAATAAATAAATTATCAACCAATCTTAATGAATTTCTGCTACAGACATGAGCTCGGAAAAAGAGGTGGGCCAACGATTCAGAGGACAAATATTAATTTCTAATCACAAAATAAATGACAATAAAAGGATTTTGAGCAGCACAGAGTGGATGAATCTAGTCTCTCAGGCCCAGCAATGGCGGTTGAAAATCGAATAGTAGAAGGAGGCTGATGAGTTCAGCTAAGCAAGGGGTTTTACTAGTGTTGAACTTGAATCTCAACTCCGGAGGAGGCCAAAGCCAAATTAAGGTGATGGGTTAAAAATGAACCTGAAGAGGAAGAGCTCTCTTCGGGGTTGTCGTCACCGAGCGCTTCCAGGGTAACTGGTTCTCTCCGACTGCCGAAGGAAGCGAACCGCCGCCCACCAGCTTGCAACTTGAGAATGCCATCTGTCCCCCGCAAAAATCAACGGTCTCCGACACTGAAACTTGTTTATTTGTGGAGTTTGAAGGGGCAGTCCGTAGAGCTAAAGAGACACAAACAAATTAGTGGGCCTTGTGTAATAGTAATACGATTTCATTTATCTGGACTGGTTGTTTTTTGTTGGCCCAAGGTTTTTTATGTCACCAAAGGGCCCAAGTGTAAACCCTCCCACCCCGAACACAAAAATACATGAATGATGCAAAGAAAATCGATTGATCGAAATGGAGACATTAGTCGTGAAATTTGTCCCTTTTTTTTTCTTTTTTTTTATCCTGCCAAGTATGGTGTGTTTTTAGATTTTGAAAGTTCCTTGTTTTAAATTGTCAGTTAATGTCTTGAGGGGGAGTGTTAGATAGCTGTCCATAGCTGTCCACAAATCCTGAAAAAGCTTGTCTACCACCTAGAAACACAAATCCTGGTTTTAGGGAAATACAAAATGCTGGAAATCAGAAATCTGGTTTTGTTGTTTAGTTTGTAATCTTGTGGCTAGCCATCTTTCCTCCTTACCATTTCTCCTAATAATAGTGTGGTGTGTGTAGACATTCTACATTTTGTGTTTTTAATGAATTATTTTTGCATATGTGTTAAATTGGGATCTGCATAAAGGAGAAGTATTTTCTTATAGGTAAGAAGACAAGTAGTATCTTTAATTAAGTTTATATATATATATATATATATATATAAATTTCACCAAACTATGCATATAACATAAGTCACGTACTTCTTTATGAAAACAAAGTAAACCATGGCCTCCTCCTCTGCTTTTGCCGCTACCCACATAAATTACGTACATTAAGCACAACACAAGGGATTCGCTATTTGTCTTGCACTGTGTTTCAGTTAGCCTTTTATTCTCCAGGTGTTGGATTTGCTGGTTGTTCACTAACCCTTCATTTATATTCTTTCAAGAGAAAGAAAATCAAATTTTCACTAATGAATTAACCTTAGCTGATTGTTTTACTTTATCATTTTACCTGATTAAACAAGCAAATCTCATTCATGGCCACGGGCTTTCAGAGTCTGTAGACTGTATGCATGCCCGCGACGAAGTAACTTTCAAAGGTCTTTTTGGTGAAGAGGAAAATCCATACCTACCGAGCCAGAAACGAATCTGCATGCGGCATGCGCAATGAGATTGTTTGACCTCCAACCCAGCTGGAAGGTGTGAGATAATGCCACATGTTATTACTGACAATGACTTGAAATTGGAAAAGGCAGATAAGCCCACAACCAATACGAGCTGTGTCGAGGAGATCATGTTAATTATAACAGTACTTCAGCTATGCATAATGCATGTATTATATGGGTCGTAATATTCACATATGAAGGAGGGAAGAAACAAAAGCAGATTAATATAGCTTTCTACTACCAACCGCATTTCACTGGAGAATTTGATGAGATCACATTGACTTTGAAGCACAAACTTGCTGGACCACAATTTACATTGCGTGATTGTCAATATATTTTTGGTGAAGAAAACGTGTGATGAGATTACATATATATATATATATATATATATTTACTGACATACCTGCAGATCGAAGATCTGTGTCCTTAAAATGTACCTGGACATGATCACGTTTTCTGATGAAAAGTTGATCCTGTTCCTCATAAGCAGGAGGAAACGTAGATAGCTCAAGATGTTGAATTCCATGCAAACCCTTGCCAAATGAAAAGTCTCTTTGCTTATACCTCAGGTTCGTTGTCCCTCCGACCTATCAACATTAGGGTAGCTAGCTCTCCTAGTCCTATAGCCTATACCTAGACTAATTCTGTAATGTAATGTACTCCTCTAGCTAACAATAACAAAGTAAATATTTTGGTGGTATATACTGGAAGCAACTTAATTAATCTTGGTAAATTAAATCACATGCCGATGCGATCATCCAATCACGTGAAACAAATTTACTAGAATAATTTCAGATATTTGAATTTGATATTGAAGCATATAAACAACAAAAACAACCTTTGATACTTCCATTCCCTTGATTAATTGGTTGTGTAAAATAAGTCGTTCTCATAGAGTAATAATCCGGCGCTCTGCCTCATCGACAATTACTAAACTGGCCCTGATCTGTCTGGTCTTTGAAGGCCACAAAATTCACTAATGTAAAAGTCCAGCGATTAGTTTATGTCATATTTATACCACAAAAGAGGTTTATAGGTAGCCTATTAATTACTGTAATTTTCTATCCCTAAAAGAGGATCCAAAAAAGAAAACCCCAAGCCCCTTCCCAATTTGATCAACCCTAAACCTGTTATACGCGAATCTGAAATAAAAGACGTATACCTATACAAATCCAAAGTCTATAAAATTTTCTAGGCGTGTAACAACTATATTATATACACACCCGCTACACTACGTTTCGGTAGACTCCTTAATTGCGATCATATGGAGCAAAATTTGAGATATTGACGAGACATATCGATGCAACAAAAGACTTTAACATGCATATCATTTCACGGCATCTTTTGTGTCCCCAAAAGCTAGAAAATAAAAAATCAAGGACAATATTGAATCTTTCCAGAAGATCCAGCATAAGTCCTACTACATACACGCCTTTTGTATATGCACTATCTATAGTAACTTTTAGCTTTTCTAGTGATTTTGGTCGATCAACTTCTAGGTCATATTCCAAGATGTCTGGTTTAGTTTTTGAGATGATCAATCGTGTTAATTAATTGAAAAAAGTAATCTTAATAAAATCTAATTAGGGTTGTCGGGAGTCTATCCTTTACCGTAGGTTTCAGGTCGAACAGACAACGAAACAAAGATTAATTTGCAAAAGAGACTACTCACTTGACAAGCATAGCATGGAATCCACTCACCCGTACCAAAATATATCGATATATTCCTTTCAATCATTGATCATGCTTGTGCTATCTTTCTTTCTTTCATCCCACCTGAAAAGGAGAGAGAGAGAGAGAGAGAGAGAGAGAGAGAATGAGATTCAGATTAAGTAATGAATCGAACTATAAATATATAAGAACCATGTACAGCTACTTAATTGGAGAAACATACGTACGTTAAGGAGGAAGAAGAAGAAGAAGAAGCTGGTGTTTAGACAAGAAGAAGCTGTGTTGTATGCCCTATATATATACATATATAGAGGGTGAGTTTGAGCTTCATCTTATGGAGATAAGAAGAAGGAACCTTTCTTTCTTTTTCAAGTATAGCTAGCCTAGCCCAATTGTTTAATGGGTGAAGCGTGCGACTTGTATACGGATCCTCATATCTGTTAGATCCTTACACGTGACTATCATTGACTAATTGGTATTAATTAATCGTTTGTGTAGGCATCTGAATTCATAATAGATAAATATTGATGGACGGACGGTGCAAATTGTAATTAGCTCATTTAGAATTAGAAGCAGATACATATGTAGTCCGACATTCTGGTAAATCTATAACGTGGTGGTGGGCCAGGTTGATGCACCTACTTTACGCCTCACTCGATGACTTGTGGTTAATTCATCTGTTTCTTTGATCGATGTGTTTTCCTTTTCTTTTGGATGAATTTATCCTGCTAATTTGGGTTGTGTTATACTGCACTTGCACTACCTTTTCCTGAAAAGCAATAATTGAAAAGCCTCGATGATGATTGGCTCAATTTTCATGAAAAATCTTCCTTTGTTCGTGCTGAATATTGAAAAAAATATGCAGGTGATATATTTATGTCGGGAAAAGCAGCTGCGACCAGTTCTTTGTTTTGGAAATGTTGGTAGCTAATTACATTTATTTGTGGCATGGAGTGAAAGGCCCAAGCAACGACGTGGTTCATTTATGTACAGCCACTTCCTGTTATGTGGGGATATAGATATTTACGGTATACCACCTTTGATGTTTGGTATTTGACATCTTCTTTAGAAATATACATGTCACATGTGTCTGCCTTAATTAATTGCGCACATCTCACTCTACAAATAATCATCAAAATGAGAATGAATATTTTCCTTTACTCCATACTCTATATATAATTAATTACCTATGAAATTCAGAAATTTAATTACTTGTGTATATAGTCTAGAGAGAGAGAGAGAGAGAGAGAGGAGCTAGAAATCAAACCAAAAGATTATAACAGAAATTTATTAGCACACGCGTTGTCATCACAGCGCGCAACAGAGGGTCCGATAGCGGCAGCACCAGGATACTGTAGCTATCGATGAACAGTAGGCATCTGGAGATTTTTGTGGTTTGATCATGAGTGGGTAGCCAGCTCTTCCAAGCTGACCTGATTGCTTGTAATTCATGACAGGAGCTTTGCTTTGGTAATTGCAAACAAATCAACAATTCATTATGCAATAGTAGGTCGCTAGCTATAAGAAAGAGATGAATTACTATTGACCTAATTAAAAACACAAAAATTAAAACAAGGGACAAAAACATATCAATCTCCTTAACTTTAATGATTGAATTCTTTACTTTTTCCGATGCATATTTATAATTAAATTTATCCTAATTATGTTTTGTACTAATTTCAATTGCATTATTGGAACATTTTAGTCTATATATCATTCATGAAGAGAAATGATATTCACACTCGCTCAAGTGTTAAAGTGAAACTTACTGACATGACATCTACAGATTTGCACCAAAATAGCAATTCTTAATGATATCTTTGTCCAAAGCAACTAATATTAATTGGAAATATTTAACATGAGAGAAAGCTCAAATATGACTCATGTGAGCAATGCTATATTACATAATTCAGTAGTTAATTAACAAAACAATAAAGAACGTACATCAACTTGAGAGAGAGAGAGAGAGAGAGAGAGATCAGACCAGGAAAGTAGGAAGCTTCCTGGTTTGGAACTTTGTTGGATGAAGTCAATATTGGGTGTTGGAGTGTGGACCATGGAAACACATGGGCTGCGAGAGCTCGATCAGATCAGCCGGCGGGGGGGGGGTTGGGGTTTGGGGTTGGGGTGTCAAATTCCATGCAAAGCCTTGTCAAGCGAGCAGTCCCTTAAGCATACACCTCACATTCATTGCCAGATCGACCTCGATCCGTCCATATATCCTTCAAATGAATTCTAAAAAAATTACGTATTATGTGGTTTTCCTACCTCCACTCGTTCACTGCCTACTGAGACCCACGTTACAGTTTCTAAGTGCTCTTTAAAACGTACATTATTATAGGACACAAGTATTCGTCCCAAAAAAATTAAGTGTTAAAATCATAGGAGACACGTAGGGTCTAAGTATACATATAGAAAGAGACTGCATTAACATTGTACGTATATGAGAACAAAAACCACCTGAATTAAGCTACAAATGTTATAATCATATAATTTTATGCGCACTCTAATCTTATAATAATCCACCAAGCTGCCCATGTATAATGTTATATTGAGTTGAGTATATATAAATCCATGTCCTTATACAGCTACCTTGCGAGGACAAGGAAACTTTATCAAATAAACAACAGAAAGGAGATGCCTAGGTAAGCACATCATGAGCAACAGCCTGCCCTTCGATCGGTCAAATATACGATCTTTTTTTTCAAAATTGTTCTCCCCACGAATAATGCTAGGATCACCAACAAATATCACTAGGGTCACCAAATTGATGAAATCCACAACGGACCCAAATTTGAATATATAAAATATTAGTTATTCTCTCATTTGGATGTCCGCATATTATTATCGTGCATATGACATTGTAAACAGGGAGAAAAACATGGAGAGGGTAGCAGAAAATACATTGCGTTTATACGATAATAACATCCGGATGTCCGCATATGAGAATTTCTGTATAAAATATTATGATATCTTTATACAAACAAAATTTAGTGAATCTAGCACTACTTATTATCATGGATTGCAAAAGTTTTTGTGGAATATAATTTAGGAAGAAATCGGGAGAAAAGCTTATTATCCGTATCTAAAGTAATTAGCTTAGCAATCCTTAAATTTACAAAAGGTTCAAGGAATCGGGAAGAAAGTAGAAGACACACAGCTTGTAAACCTTTATACTCTCTGTAGTCTCTACTAGTACGTACCTACTAGCACCAGGCTCCAGGTCCAACCACACACTTCTTGAGTAGCGTACATATATACTCCGAGAAATCTGGGAAAAGATTAGCCTAATTTTATCATCCATCTAGATGCTATAATATTTCTCCTCTAATAAGGAAATAATGGAATTCAGAAAGTGGATTAATTCCTGCTAATGTTAATTAATTAACTTAAGACGTGTTAGTGTTGTATTTGGTGAGAATTTGAGATTAGGGAACCAATCTATTCCAACTCAAGCAGGAATTAATCCATATGATGGTTGATTATAGGGTAAATGTATATTACGACTAGGGTTATAAGTTTCCCACATCTTACATCGATCTAATTAATTTCTAGCCGTTTCAAGTGCACCTGAAAGTCACGTGCAAAGCTTTGCACCTACCAAACAGGCAACACATAAAATACAGATTGACATGCATATTAATTCATGCATTTAATATAAAAATGATTACCTATAGTTTGTCGTAGCACAGATTTCATGGAGCAATTGTGGAGCTAGCACATCATTCCAGGTATAATTCACAGATATCGGGAGGGAGGGAGCGATCGGATAAA